TACAATTTCCCAACCCCTCACCACACACGCCTCACAGGTGACATATTCCCAATCTTTACCCACAGACACATGCCCACTTCCCCACAGCATCCCTCTGAAGTCACTTCCGGTCCTCATGCTCATCACTCTGTTCCTCCTTCTGATCCTTGGCTCACCCTTGCCTTTGCACTTCCAGCCTGGTGGCTTTTCCCAGCTACCAGCAGGGCTCTTTCCCCACTTTCAGCAATAGATTCCCACTAACATGGGGACGTTCCTTGAGCACTCTCATTAGAGTGGCTATCCCCACCCTCTATAACCCTGACCCCATTCATTTTTTTTAAATGGCATTTACCACCATTAACACTGTGGATGCATCTCTCTCTCTCTGCTGTATGCCAGTATATATAATATGTATATAATATATATTACATATGGTGTATATATAATCCATTTGTCTATCATTCCTGTGGAAATAAATGAAGACCAACTGTATGAAAAAAGCAAAAGCTACTACTTATTCAAAGCTCACTATAGCAAGGGAGTCCGTCACATGACTTGAATTTTATCAGAGTCTCAAAGGCAGGAGGCCTTATAGCGGAACAAAGGTGCCCTGATTGGAAGCTATTGGCATGGGGAGGCTGTGGGTGAACTAACTGGAAAGGTGATAGGTGAGGAGTGGATATCTGGCTTTCTGTGGCTGGTCTTAAATTGGAAGTGGACATAAAAATTAGGGAAAATGTCAGTTATTAATCAAGTCCTGGCCATTGTGGGCAGATTGTTACAGATGTTACCATTTACCTTCCTAGACTGTTACTAGAGATCTGGACCTGGCTTTCTGTGCCTCTCACTGTAGATCCGGGGTGGCTTCCTGCAGTTTGTGGGTCAGAGACCTGTTTTTGTATACGGTCTGGCTGCTGTTCATTTGTATCACCAGTCTCTCGTCCTTCACCAGGATATAGACGGTGAGAACATTGTTTTATTCACTGCTGTCTCCCCAGAGTCTGAAACAGTGTCTGGTACCTAGTAGGCACTCAGTGACTGTTTGCTGTTGATTATCATAATGTTTGTCCAGATCTAGGGAGAAAGGCTGTGACTCTGCCATGTGACCTGGGTAGAAAACCAAAGACAAGCTTGCATGATTCACTTCAACTCTACAAATGTTTGTTGAGTGCTTGCTGCATACCCAGTGGGCTCTCTATGGGGTTATTCACTCAGGTTACACAGGACAAGCACCAGTGGAAAACTGATTGAAGGCTGGGACTCCAAATGCTTTAGCCTTTGCTCACAATTTCTCTTCTCTCCCACTTGGAACTCATCTCTCTACCTTTAAGGACCCTCAGGCTCCAGGTCTCCCATTATACTTGAAGGTTGTGGTGGCCCACACCTGCTTTCTCCAGCACTTACGACCCCTGGAAGCTACTTCAGTTGTTGCAAAGCACCTGTGTGGAATCTGGCTGTCTTCTCCATGAGTTGGTTATCTTCTTGCTTGGATTTTTCCCTTTTGGGGCAGGAGCCACATCTTACCTCCAGTGCAGGTGACACACAGGAAGGTCTCGGGGGTCTGAGTCTCTCCCCATCCCTCCTATGTTTGACCTTTTCCCTGAGCTCCACATCAGATGCCTCACTGGGCTCAGGATACATCTATTTTCTACACACGGAAGCCCCAGCTGGCTCTGCGCTGCCATTTGGAGACGGATGCCAGCCTGACAACCCCAGGCTGGGGCCCCCACTCAGATATCTTAACTATTATTTTTTCCTTGCTGTTTATTTTTGAGAGAGCATGAGTGAGGGAGGGGCATTGAGAGAGGAAGATACAAATCTGAAGTAGGCTCTAGACCCTGAGCTGGCTGTCAGCACAGAGCCCGACACAGGGCTCGAACTCATGAACCGTGAGATCATGACCTGAGCCAAAGTTGGACACTTACCCGCCTGAGCCACTAGGTGCCCCTCAACTCTTTTCTGACAAGAGCTTGCCATTAAGTCTTTTATAAAAGTATTTAAATGGTTCTGAATTATCTGTTCTTCCAAAAAAGTTTGGGTTCGTTTATCTTTCAGCTAGAATACTCAAGGAAACAAGAGACAAACAGGCCAGGATAGGATTGGAAGCAGAAATTCTGGGGATGGTCTATCAGCAGAGGCCAAGGTCAGCCGTGGCAGACAGAATGCAAGCTCCTTAAGGACAGGGATGCAGGGCAGCTGTTTACTAATGAATCAACACCTGGCACACAGTAGATGCCCCATAAATATTTATTGGACGAATCGGAGTTATAAACACTCACATAAAGTTTGGAACAAGAAATGCCAAGTTTCGATAGCAATCATTTTCAATATTCACTCATCTCATTGCTTCAATCTCCCTGCCATCACAAAGCACACTACATGAAAAGGCAAACGACAGAAGTACAGATGTGAAAGAGGGCTCTGAGGAGGGAACGTATCATTGCCCAGTGTCTGTTCATGAGCCATGCATGCTTATCACACCCTGCTCCCCAGTGGATCTCCACCATTAACCATGTGGTTTCAAATCCCTCCACAGTTTATGGATCCCTCTGTGGTCTGATTCCTGAACAGCTCTGCCCCAATTTTATGACTCAGAATCCAGAGCAACTCAACATTAGTGACATTAAGTCCATATGTGTTTAAGGCCTCGAAAGGGAAATCTGAGAAAATTTGCACAAAACCCACAGCACTCCCCGGCTTTAGTTTATTCAGATAATTCTTTTTTCAAAACTTGGTAAATATTAGAAAACAAATGGCTTCAGCCCTGGGCTTAAGACCTCTGATTTTCTTCCCTTAATCCGGTAGCCAAACATGCAAAGGGAAAAAGCAGATTTTTCTCTTGGCTGAAGAACATTTTGCCAGGTGCCATTCCGGACCCCATGTCTTGGCTTCCTCAGGGCTCACACCTCGGCGCTTTGGGAGACAAGCAGCTCTTCCTGCCCATCGCCAGGGAAGGAACTGAGCCCCTCAAACAGACCCCAGCCTTCAGGAGGTCCCTCCCTGTGCCTGACTTAAGTCTCTTCTTCTGGCCGAGAAGCCTGATTCCCTCTTGCCCTGTCATTGCTGGAGAAGGGGGAACAGATGCTCACTGCTCTCCTTTTAATCATCCTTAATGGGCTCATAAACAGTTATTAGGTCCCCCTTCAGCCTTCTCTGAGCCTCATTTTACTTGCATTGAGGCTGAGAGCTTCTGAGGAAGGCATTTTACTCAGGGCTCCACAGACTTGTGGAGTCTTAAATCGGTAATCAGCCACTTCACCCACTTTAACCTCCACAAATGAACAGCTCTGCCTCCTTTTGCAAAATTTAAATCTATTCAAGGGAGTTCCCTGGCAACCAACCCTTATTAATAAATCACGCCTGCTCTAGGCTAGGACAGGGCATTCTTTTTTTTAATTCTTTCTCTTGGGAAGTCACACTGGTGCAGAGGCACACAGTAAACACCCAGCTGCACTCTTGAGGTTCTGCATTTGCAGAATCGTGGGCCTAGGGAGTTATCATCTGGCTCCCCAGCTGGGAGAGGGGTACTGCTCTAAGAGACTTTCCCTGGTCCTTTCTTGTGGTGGTTGGACTAGGAACAGAGCAGCTGGGGGTGGGGGTGGGGCAGGACATAGAGGTACAGTGAGACTTGCTCAGCCTCCCCTAGGAACACACTGGAAAGTTCCATTTTCTGCTGTGTCGTGCTACTGTTTATTTTCAGTATTGCTCACGCCAACTAGGGAAAGTCCCAGTTGTATGGTCGGTTAGAGTATCCCATTGTGTCTCAACTCTGGGTCCCATGGTTCCCTTCAATCACAGGAGGCAGGGAAGGAGCGGGACGGGAGGTAGTGGGGGGGAGGAGGTTGTTTCAGCTTTGAGAAAGAGTGATTACATTTCCGGAGACATTTTAACCAGGATGGCTAAGATTACAATTCCACCAATTCGAAAGCAATTGGAGCTCTTGGGCGTTGCTGGTGGAAACATACATTGGAGCCACCAACTTCGGAATTGTTGGCAGATCCCAGCAGCGGCCCTAACAATTCCCCTCATGGGCACATGCTCAGAAGACACGAGTGTTTACGCTCACCAAAACACCTGCACAAGAAAGTTCAGGGTGATGGGATTTATAATAGTAAAATCCTGGAAGCGGCCAGCCAAGTGCAGACTGGAGAAAGAAACTGAGGCATACTCCTGCAAAGGAGGCAGTGCATGGCAGAGGCCTGGGTTCCCAACCCGCAATGCAGCGTTGATGAGTCTCACAGACGTGACGCAGGGTACAGCCAGCCAGGCGCAAAAGAACATGTTCCGTGTGGTTGCATTCATGCGAAATTCAGAAAAGACAAAACTAATCTATGATGATAAAGATCAGAATAGCGGTTGTCTCTGAGGGGAGGCTATTGTGAGCAGAATACCTTAGATTTGTGTACTTTATTGAATATAAGTTATACCTCCGTAAAAAGAGGAAAAGAAGATGTTCCTTGTGCATTCTTCTTCCTGGATGAATAACCCATTATATATTCATCCATTTTCCCCCCACTGGTCTGCTTCTTTCAAAAAAGATTGGAGGTGACCTACAAGGATGTGTGGCTTTCATTGTATTTATCAGGCAAGCAATCTGAGTGATACTACACGAAGGGCAGCAACTGAGATGAAACCAGATGTGAGGGGAGCCCTCAGTATGCATGCCGGGAAGTGCTGAGCACTTCCTAAAGGGTGAAACGAAGGAAGCTTCCCGAAGGAAGTCACCAGGAAGAAGAAACACAGTTCCTCTTCCAATAGCCAACAGTTCATCTGATCAGAGGACAGAGACCCAAGAGAAGTTTCTCCTGTGCTGTCTCAGAGAAAGGCAACTATACAATCAAGCCCCTGTCTAAAATTTTTTTAATCTTTATTTATTTTTGAGAGAGAGAGAGAGCGAGAGACAGAGTGTGAGTCAGAGAGGGGCACAGAAAGAGGGAGACACAGAATCCGAAGCAGGCTCCAGGCTCAGAGCTGTCAGCACAGAGCAGCTGCCAGGCTCAAACTCACAAATCGTGAGATCATGACCTGAGCCAAAGTCGGATGTTTAATGGACTGAGCCACCCAGGCGCCCGCCCCTGTCTGTTTTAAACATTCCATTTGGGACCCTGGATCTTCCAGTCCCTTCAGACCATGTTTTCACTCCTAAGGCACTTCCACACCTGCGCTCGTAGAATTGAGGGTGAAGTAGCCTCCCAGGACAATCAAGACCCCTTTGCTGAGCTGTACTGTGGGGCCCGAAACCAGGTACCTGTTACTTTCCCGGATGAAGTTTGGGAGAAGCCCTGCTCATGAGGGCTGTGTTTCTGCTCTTCGGGGTGCCAGGCTTGCCATCCTGCTTTCCAGAACAAGGCCTTGCATCCCCAGCCTGGGCTTTGCTGCTCGGCCCATCTTGCTCACTGGTGCTCCTGGCTGGCTGGGCCCCTTCCCCAGTGACAGGTCTACTTGGAGCAGCTCTGTGGGGGCTGGGCTCTTGCCGTCTTGGCATTTGGGTTGAGGGATCTTTCCACTTTCTGGCTCCAGTTTTTGAGTTGAATTCATACACTGCCCCAGTAACTAGGGGGAAAAATATACAACCACCATATAAACAAGGGAATTCAAATGCTTTCCGCTCCCACTTGCAGCCTGCTCAGTTCTTCCCTGGAGGGAAAGATGAAAGGCACTAGGAGGTGGGAATCATGGAGATGGAAAGCAGGCTCGAGAATGGCACAATCTGCTAGCGGCCCTTTCCATGAGCTTCGGGGCTCAGACCCCACAGGTAGCAAATAACTTCCCTCCCTGGATGGTGAGGCTCAGGACAGGCTCTTGTGTCTAGAGACTAGAAATCTTGAATTCTGTGTTAGTTTTGGATACATTCAGTTCAGTTCTTAATGGGGTTACCCATTATGTTCTGAAGGGCTTGTTTTAAAAGCCCCCAGAATCCCAAATATAAAAAGGAAGTCCCCATGTAAGAAGGAAAGAGCTTTTTTAGTTATGTTAGTTTAGCAGAGATGTATAGACACAGACACCGAGTCTGGACTCTGTTGAGACGGGGCAAGGGTGTGCGCCATTTTTATTGCAGCAGAGTGGCAGACCCTAATTGGTGTGTTTATTCACATTAATTCCATTGGCTCATTTCATTTTTCCCTCTTTTTTTTTTCCTTCTCTCAACCCACAAATGTAGGTAAGAGCCTTGGTCCTCCATGGCTTTTGCCCCAGAAGCTGGAGTTTCAGGCGATCCCGGCTCTTTCCATTTCCCTGTGGTATGAGCGGCCTCTCGGCAGAGGATCCCACCAGCACTTATGCTAATGTGGGCGCATTATGGTAACAAGTACCTAATAATAGAGGGAAATTTAATTCCAGCAGCAGCAGCAGCCTCTCCTGGAGAGGAGCCATCCTTCCGAGAAGGACCGAGCCACTTGCATGTGAGAGTGGCAGGGAGCCAACACGCTTGCCTCCCGAGTTTGGTTTCCTTCCCTTTATTCACATCTATAATTGAGCCTTTGTAAGCGAAGGGATGTGTGTAAAGGAGCTAAATTTGGAGCCGATTTCATGGGGGTGATGGGAGTTCTGGAGGCCAGCTTTACCTTATGTTCATCTTGCCGACCAAGAAGAAATTCTTGGCCCTGATTTACGGGGAAAAAAGGAGCCAAGTCTGCCATTTCTCCCTATCTCTTGCTACCAATAGGATGGTGTTAGGAGCATTCAGAAAGGGTTGGGGGAGGAAGTTGAGCTCCAAAGGTCAGGCAGAATTCACCAATCCCCTGAATTGACTTGTGATTTGGTAAGGGAGGTGAGAGAGGGCAGGAGATGTTAGGTGGAAACCTTCTGAGGCCTCATGCACGGTCATGTGCTTGAGCGCCTGCCAGCCAGCTCTGCTCAGAGGTGAGCTCATGCAGTGCTGCAGGAAGGGTCAGGCAACATAACCAAATGGATGGACCAAATAAGTTGAGGGCAGGAAATTGATGGGGTCCGCCCTGACTCCACCAACCTGGAATGTGAAAAACACCTTTTGGATGGCATTGCCAATTAATTACCTGGGTCAATGGCTTCTCCATCAAAGACAGAGTTCATCTGGACTGTTTCCTAAAGAGAAGAAAGAGACAACTTCAAGCACAACCCTACACTCCTCCCCCAGGGATGGGTCACTCATCCTCACAGCCTGTGTTCCTTACCTAGGGCCTTCTTGACACTGGTATTTGATAGGCGCCATGCTAAATGCTGAGGACACAGCGGCAAACACGACAAGCGTGGTTACTCCCTGCCCAAGGCTTGCAATCAGTAGGTGCCATTGACAACAGGTGGATGATATAGAGTGATAAGGTCACCAGTGGGAATACGGAACTGAGGCAAAAATTCTGGTGCCCTGGATTATCTTCCTCATTGTGCGGATCATTCCCTAAATTTATGAGTCCTGGATCATAACAAAATCTTATTATCAGGGGGTGAGGGATACTTGGGGGTCACCTTCAAGTTCTGTCACTTCCCAGTGGGCAGATTAGGTTCAGTAAAAAAAAACAAGGAAGGGGGCACCCGGGTGGCTCAGTTGGTTAAGCATCAGACTCTCGATTTCAGCTCAGGTAATGATCTCACGGTTTGTGGGTTCGAGCCTGGCATTGGGCTCAGTACTGCTGGTGTGGAGGCTGCTTGGAATATTCTCTCTCTCTCCCTCTCAAAATAAATTAAAAATCTTTTTAAAAAATAGGGGCATCTGGGTGGCTGAGTCGGTTAAGCTTCTGACTTCAGCTCAGGTCATGATCTCATGGCTCATGGATTTGAGCCCTGCTTTGGGTTCTGTGAGCCTGGAGCTGACAGATGTGAGCCTGGAGCCTGCTTCAGAATCTATGTCTTCCTCTCTCTGCCCCTCCCATGCTCATGCTCTGTCTCTTCTCTCTCAAAAATAAATAAACATTAAAAATTTTTAATTAAAATAAATGAGCTAAAATTTTTTAAAATAATAAATAAATAAATAAATAAATAAATAAATAAGAGAAACAAGAAGGTAAGGGTAGGGGAAACTCTCCAGCTATCTTGTATCATTTTGCAATTGTGTGACTCTAAAAGTTTTCAAAATATTTCCCCACCTGCAATCTCAGAGCAAGTGTTCTTGCTCCCATTTTACAGATGACGGATTTAAAGCTTAAAGAGGCCAGGAGAGTCTGTATGATCATACTGACAGGCGCACAGAGCCAGGCCCTAGCCCCAGCGATGGTCTGCCTCCAACACTTTTCCTCAAGGTTGTGGAACAGCAAAGAAAAAAATAAATCCCATGGAAGGCTGAAGCTCCAGTTCTGGTCTTTAAGCTCTTCTCCCCCAATTCAGTCTCCTGGAGAGCTGGTGTAGATAATAAACACCACTATTCAATATTTATGAAATCCAGTTCTTCTGCAAATATATCAGCAGACAGGTTCAGTGGAGGGAACAAATTCTATCAAGAGCTCGTCACACAGCAATCTGTTCCAGTGGCCAAATACAAGCATCTCCCTGAATGATAAACACCCCCTGAGGCTGTGGCAGGGTCTGCCTGAGAGAGGACGGGAGTGTCCCAGCACATATCACCCAAGCCAGGTGCCCCATGGCCAGTACACTTACCACCAAACCCCCTCTCTTTGTATTCTTCATTTCTGCAGGGAATAGAACAGACAGAAGTGAAGGTTCTTGGATGCTAAATTGACCTTAACATTCTATTTCCACAATGGGATTTCTCTTAAACAGGCTTTGAACTTAGTATTGCAGACACAAGGAACTCTCTGTAGACATGTTTATTGACAGCTTTCTAGCTTCTCGGAAACACACACACACACACACACACACACACACCCCCCACAATGATAATACACAGAATTTTAAAAAAATATTTTACTCTTTTCCCAACTTACTGCTATTCCTGGACCTGGGAAATTAGCCTTTTAATGAAAGATCGGAAAGATCTGGTTGAGACATTTGTTCATCATGTGGGGATTCTTTGCATCCATTCCCTATGCCCTTAAAAAAAGTAGCTACAGTGGTGGTGACAGTTTGTGAAGATCTCATTAGAATCATTTCATTTGATATGATCAATAACCATTATAATCAGATTTCCAACCCTGCTTAGACATGCCTTATGCTTGTCAGAGGCGCCTACCTATGGATTGAGTGATTAAAGCAATCTTTTTTTTAAAAAACCCACTTTCCTGGGGCGCCTGGATGGCTCAGTTGGTTAAGACGCCAACTCTTTTTTTTTTTTAAATTTTTTAAAATGTTTTATTTATTTCTAGGAGAGAGAGAGACAGCGTGAGCAGTGGAGGGTCAGAGAGAGAGGGAGTCACAGACTCTGAAATAGGCTCCAGGCTCTGAGCTGGCAGTCAGCACAGAGCCCGACACGGGGCTAGAACCCACGAACCGCGAGACCATGACCTAAGCGAAAGTCGACGGTTAACCGACTAAGCCACCCAGGCGCCCCAAGCCTCCAACTCTTGATTTCAGCTCAGGTCATGATCCCAGGGTTGTGGGATTGAGCCTTGAATTGAGCCTGCTTAGGATTCTCCCCCCCTTCGCTAAAACAACAACAACAACAACAACACACACACACTTTCCAATTCTCTGTCCTGTCTCTCCCGATAGCCTGGATGCCCCTTGAGGCAGCAGCTTTCGGGGCTGGGTGCTGACGTCCCCTCAGGGTTGGAGTTATGCAGATGGACCTTGCTCAACTCACCCCAAGTCCCAGCTCTCCCCGCCCATCTGACTGCACCCAGCCCCCCTTTCTAATAAGCCTGACCCAAATAACTTGTGGAAATCACCAAACCCATTACAATCTGAGCATAAAGTGTCCTTTGTTCTTGAAAAAGAGTCATCTGTCCAGTACAGAGCACTGGCTGTCCTCAAGAGGGGCCCACGCATCCACATGCAGCAGCAAGTAGCTACTGGTCTGGGTTTAACTCACAGAGAATTCTTCACTCCTGTCCTGCTGGAGGGAACAGACTTATAGGTGCTTAAGTTCAGCTGATTGGAGGCAACTCTGGGTAGGGAACAGGCAGGACTAAAATGAGAGATCTGAGGGGCACCTGGGTGTCTTGGTCGGTTAAGCACCTGATTCTTGATTTCGGCTCAGGTAATGATCTTACAGTTCATGAGACGGAGCCCCGTGTTGGGCTCTGAGCTGACAGCACAGAACCTGCTTGGGATTGTCTCTCTTCCTCTCTCTCCATCCCTCCCTTGCTTGTGTTGTCTCTCTCTCTCCCTCTCTCTTTTTCTCTCAAAATACATAAATAAGCATTTAAAAAATAAAATCACATGAGAGATCTGATGTACTAATGGCACTATGCACCCGGCCCTTCCCTTTCTCCAGCTACATCTGACCTCTGTTTCCTTTCACCCACTGATGGTGTGGCTGAAAACCCATCAAGACAGAACTGCACCCTGATTCTCTGCCAAATTGGAACCCTTTTACTTAGCACACAGAGCAAGCAAAAATCAACAATAGAAAGAGCAAGAAACAAAGGGAATAAGTGTGGTACATACCTCCTTTCTTCACCCTACAGAGGGAAGAAAAGGGAGGGACAAGAATTAACCTAAGAGTAATCTGCCCTGGTGCAGACATGATAACTTGGGGCCTCTGGGGGACTGTGTTTCCTTGGGATTCAGGGACTAATTAAAAGAGGGGCCAGGCATGAGCACTAAAATGAAGGCCGGGGTCCTACCCCTGGTGCGAACAGGGCAGCTCCATCACCGTTGGTTGGGGACTAAAGAGGTTCCAGGAGTTTGATCAAAGTTTGAAAACTATTGCTTTATAGACCATCAGGGGATATAGTTCCTCTGATAGCACAGGTGAGGGCATGACCAGCCTGCCTGGAAATCTCCCTGCCTCCTTTTTCTCCCCAGCAGCCTGCTTAAGCAAAAGGCTTGGCTCACAGCAGGAAGCCTCAAGGGCTGACAACTAAACCCTATTTTCCTAAAACATGAAGACCTAGGCGTGGATGCTGAGCGCCTTCCCATGGTATCCTTGGGTTCCATAATTGTGTGACTCTAATATTTTTAAATATAATTCATTGTCAAGTTGGCCAACATACAGTGTGTACAGTGTGCTCTCAGTTTTGGGAGTGGATTCTCGTGATTTATTGCTTCCATACAACACCCAGTGCTCATATCCACAAGTGCCCTCCTCAATGCCCATCACCCACTTCCCTCTCTCCCCCACCCCCCCAACAACCCTCAGTTTGTTCTCTATATTTAAGAGTCTCTTATGGTTTGCCTCCTTTCCTCTCTGTAACTATTTTTTCTCCTTCTCTTCCCCCATGGTCTTCTGTTAAATTTCTTAAGTTCCACATATGAGTGAAAACATATATCTGTCTATCTCTGACTGACTTATTTCACTCAGTATAATGCCCTCCAGTTCCATCCACATTGCTGCAAATGGTAGGATTTCATTCTTTCTCATTGCCAAGTAGTATTCCATTGTATATATAAACCACATCTTCTTGATCCATTCATCAGTGGATGGACATTTGGGCTCCTTTCACGATTTGGCTATTGTTGAAAGGGCTGCTATAAACATTGGGGCGCATGTGTCCCTATGAATCAGCACTCCTGTATTCTTTGGATCAATTCCTAGCAGTGCTATTGCTGGGTCTGTGACTCTAATTTTATTCTTTGCTGTTGGATAAATGTTGGCAGCCACAGGGTGCAACGAATTTCCAGAGAGCCCAGGCCTGAGTCTGTGTTACTAACTACTTTTTCCTTTTTACGTCAACCGTGTTGAAAACAGTTCCCATTTAGAATGTAAGTTAAGGAAACCAGGTTCAAGGTATATTTAGCCATAAATTGCTTGAGAGTTGCAGTGTCTACTGGATGACTCCCTTTAAGAACTTCTGCCCAAATCCTGTTACGGAGCACCACCATCCTTATAAGCTTAAGTGTCACTCTTTTGGAGTTATTTTTCTCTCCCAAATCAATTTGTGAGTAGAGCCAAAACAGAAATGCCTTTCTTAGTTTCAGCAGATGCTCAAGGATTTCTTACCTTGAAGTCAAGGTTGCCAATAGCAACAAACTTCCCCAATAAATATGGCAAAATGCAGTGCACATATTTATGCTAATGCCTTATACTTTGGTACAGTCTTTCAATCTGTAGGTTTTACATGATTTGACAGTACTAGTGAATCTTCAAAATACCTTTAAAAGGTATATAAAATCTTATCACCCCCTCATTTTTGCCAAAACTCAGATTCTGACCCCCCACAGAGAGTTGAGCATGGAGCTGAACTTGGGAGTCTAGAATCCTGAGCTCACTGGGACTCAGCCACAAAAAATAACACAACAAGACTTAAAAAAAAAAACAAAAAACTATATTAAGTATAGGAACGGTGCTAAGTGCTTTGGTTTTGCTCATTTGATTATTTAGTCCTCAGATAAGAAACTGAGATTCACAGGGGTTGTCTCTTGTTAAAAGCCCAGATCTGAACCAGGCTTTGTCTCTCTCCAAAGCCCAGGCTCAGAACCATCATGCTATCATTGCAGGAGCTTCTGAGACTCAAGAAATTGAGTCTGGAGAAGCTTGGAACAATGGAGAGCTCTCCCTGATGTCTCACTTCAGCCAGTATGAGACATTCCATGGAGTACACAGTGAGAAGCAGGTTAGTGAGCAGGAGGCAGCAGGAGGGAACAGGAGGGAGGGGAAGCAGGCCTCCACTGACAGCCCTTGAGAGTGAGAGATTGGGGTCACGTTCGAAAGAACAATGATTATTTAGTCACATAAAGCCCAGCGAGTCACTGGAGCCAAGAGCTTAATTCCCTTATCAGTTTTCTGTGCTTCCTCTAATTCCATCCATCCTTTCAATATTCTACAAATAATAGCACAGTATATTCTATCACTACTCACAACCAGGGTTTTTTTGTTTGTTTGTTTGTTTTTCTGAAGCTTTTATCCAGGGCAAGGTCACCAAGAGGTTGAAGCCCCAATTTCATTGAGAATGCCTCAAGGACAGAGCAGGTGCCCAGGAAAATGAAAGCAGCCGTTTCCTGGCCCCGCAGGTGATAAAGAGGGTACCAGGACTGCGGGGGGCTGGGATTCCCTCTCCTCATCCACTTTTCCTTCCTTCATGCCAGCTGCGCTCTCTGCCCCATGGAGAAAGCCTAATTCCTACCTTTCCCTCTCCCGACAGCCCTGGAAACAAAGTCCTATAGGAAGTGGTGGAAAGGGCCACTTACGGAGGTTTCTTGTGCTCCCCAGTCTTGCAGGGACAGTGTCTGTGGATGGCTTTGGCCAACAGGACGAACAGGGACACCAGGAGGCCCAGAAGCAATATGGAGCCCAAAGTGATGACGAAAGGCACATACCATGCTGATGGAGAATAGATGTTTTTTCTCAGGACCTGGTGGATGATCTGGGGCTTGAATGACAGAGAGGGGGGAGGTGATTTTGGGAGACATTTTTGACATCGGCACTGCCTCGTGTTGGGTGTTGAATCTGTTGTCGGCTCCTGTTATCTACACTGTGCATCCGTGTGCTCAGGATTCTTTGCTGCACCAACCCATCACCTTGTTTATAGTCTTTCTAAGCACCCATGAGATCAGAACCCAGAACATTTAGGAAACTGAAAAGCAACTCCAGTCCTATTTTTATTCTCTTTCCCTCTTTCCCAAATGCTAAAGATTCCATTGGCTTTTTTCACTGCCAAATCATGGCATAACCCCAGGACTGATACAGCCATTGTCTCTCACTGGGAAGGCATGTGCCACAAAAGCTGTTCTTTTATTAACACTTTGTAGGCTTTTTAGTGCTCACTCACTGCATGCTGCACTGCCAGATGAGGGGGCTGACATCACAGGGAAACCCCAAGTTTGGCATTGGCTTCCTAGAGAGGGAGACAGATAGCAAACAAGTTATGGAAATTTTGGGGCTGGAGCGGTCACCATTGGGTCAGGTTGTAAGTCCCAGAATGGTAGAAACTCCTTACCCAGAGGGAGTCACTGGCTCCTACCACAGCTGAAAGCCCTTAATATTATCCTTATGCTTCTGTCCATTGTGGTAAGATTGACTCCAGCACATGGGAGATGGACATTGACCAACTTGTGGTAGGGCTTGGACAAGCAGAATTTGACCACCTGTCACAGGTAAGCTGTCTGAGGTTCTGATTACTTTTCCTCTGGGATACTGAAAGTGCGGGGCCACCAACTGAGGGCACAACTTCACTACGAGCAGGAGGAAAGGGGACAAAAGAATCAGCACAAATATAAGCCAGTCCATCCAAGGAGCAAGGGGAGATAATCCTATTGTCAGATTCCAAGCCTCTCCCTTCCTTTACCATCCTGGTCTGATAATGGCACCTGCTTATTTCTTGCTACCATCTACTGCAATCTGTACTCAATGTGTTCATTCGATATCTGCTTGTAATATGTCTCCCTCTCTGGGTTGGTGGATCTAAAACATTGTGCACATCAGAATCCCTTTGAAGGTCTTATTAAAAACACCGATCACTGGGTTCCACTCCCAGAGCTTCTGATGCAACATCTCTGGGGATGTGGTTGGGGACTCTAGGGTCCAACATCTTTCCCTGGAGGCCATGGTAATGATCACATTAGGTGAGGTATAATTCCACTTCAATGCTCTGAGGTAGGCCTAAAAATTGACGTTTCTAACAGGCTTCCAGGAAATGCTGTTGCTGATGGTCTGGGGACCACCGACCTGTATTACAAGCCCCATGACAGCAGAGATCATTTTTGGCTTGTTCATCAAAGCGCTTGGCATGTTATAGGTATTCAATCAATATTTATATTTATATTTATAGACTGAACCAATGACTTCTTTTAGAATAGAGGTGGAGAGTAGGGTACAGATTGGCACACAGAGACTCTTCAAAAGAAGTGGAGAGGAATAAATATACCTAGCAGCTACCTGCCTTTGTGGACCTGACTTGCGATAGCCTGAGTTTTCTGCGAGCAAGTGCAGAAAGGGGCTGTGAAGGGAGCTGCTGGCCACAGGTCCCTGAAAATTGGCTCCTGTGTCACATCACCATAGGTGGTCAATACCTGATCTATCACAATCCGGGGAATAAATACACATTCTTCTTTCCCAACATAGGAAAATTTAATGGTTCTACAAGTCCAAGGTCTCACTCAGATCTTTTGTCTGCCACCCAGTGACAACTCCAGTCTAGCCCATAGTTGGTGTTCCTGGCAATATCCTAACACCTCAACTCTTTTCAGCTCCTCCCGTATTTCTCCTGGGTCACAGGGCTCCATCAATGTAAATTACAAGGGATGTATCTAGGGAGTTCAGGTTCCAAAGCCCTTACCCTGGTGGTTGTGGTGGCAGTTGTGGTTGGGTCAGGAATGACACTAATAGTCAGCGTCACTGTCCCTGTTTCAACACGAGCCTTAGCTTTCTTCCTGCCAGACAGCAAATTGTCATCGGTTATGTAGACAAGTAGTTTGTAGTCCCAGATCTTGTCAAGCCCACTGGCATAGTCAAAGCGTGTCGCAAGGAGCAGGCTTGTCACGTTGGACCCAGCGCTGGGAGAGAAAGCGAAGTGACTATTGACATTGCCTAAATGAGATGTGATACAAGGATTTGGGGAAAAGAGAGAAAAGGGAGTGAGCAAAACAAGGTGTTCTTAGAAAAACAGTGTATTTCATCCTTCCTCAAACATGCACACCTCAGGTGTAGACCGTGTTTCTGATGCACCAGAGCCAGGCCAGTGATGGGACATGGGCCTTAACCACACCAGAGACCTCATGGGTACAGGGAAACTCTTGCTCACAAACAGTGTGTCTGCAACAGGAACAAAGTAAAATAGGACAGCACCACACCTGTTCCAGGAGAATGGCTGCGATCTTTCTGAGTATTGGGCATAGATTTAATAATCCTGGGGCAGCCTTTCTAGCCAATCCTCACTGTCAGTGTTTATTTGGTAATAATGCCTAACTCACACTCAGACCAACGGGTGGGCGGCAAGAGGCTAGAGGGAGCCATGTCTCCAGCCACGGGCCAAATTCACTCCCATCGCCCTTTGTGGAACATGGCTGGCAATACTAGTGGCAGAGGTCCATGGATCCCCCAAAGGAAGGTACCTCCTGGCTTGGCAGGGGTTGCATCCCAGGTCCTCCTGAATCCACCCCAAGCCCCTCTCCCCCACAGCTTGGCTGGGGCTCAAGGCTCACAGCTTAGAATGCCCAGGGCAGAAAGGCTGCCACCCAAGCAGTCCTTGCTCATTCCCCTGGTGGCTCCAGACTCATTACCGACTGAAAGCCAGTAAATGGAGCAGGAGATGATGCAATTTTTACTCCCTTAGCAGCGAAGAGCTCCATCAAGGCCTGAGGGTTCTCAGTATGGATTATTTCCATCTTCGGCAACTGCCGACTTGAGGCGGTCTCTGCCCCTGGGTTTTGTGACAGGGCCTGCTGGAGAGGCTTCCTGCTGTTCGAGTTCCTGCTCCGCCAGGGCTCAGCCAGGGCTCAGCCGGCAGCCGAGATGGATTTTTACTCTCTCATGTGGAATTGCTCTGCCTGTTTGGGTTTAAATCTCTGGCCCCAGCACTTCATTAGATGAGCTATTTTGGTCTAATTTCCATTGAGGTGTGCTCTTTCTTCCCCCCACAGTGGTATATTTTTAAAGAGAGAAAATGAATGGAGTAGAAGAGAATTCCTGAGGACACGTTTCAAAATGCATTTAATCTATTTAATCTATTATTATCCAGAGAGACAACTGGGATTCCCTGCCCCCACTACTAGCTTGGAGGAAAAGAGGTGGTTGAGGAGATGGACGAAAAAAAAATTTTTTTTAAAACTACATTAATGTGATTCACAAATCATGATGGGCTGGGAATTGTAGAGGATTGGGGTGCCACCAGTGGGTTCACTTTTCCTTGGGCTTTTGGGCAACCACAGATGGGGGCTTGGGAAGAGTTAGGTGAGGTAGGGAAGCCTGAGTGAGGACTGGGAGGCAGAGGACTGGGAGGCAGAGGACCATGACGCTCCTCATCCCTGCTTCCCTCGTTCAAAGTACCCCCCCCCCCACACACACACACTGTGCCCAAATCCATTTATGAGCACAGACCCCCTTCTCCCTCAGCAGCTGCTAAGGCCACCAACACCAGGACCCATGGAAATGGCCTACCTGAGCCAATGGAGTAACGAAAAGACCTGGGGCTGGAATCAAGGTCGATACACGTCAGCTTGAAATTCTGAATGTTTGTGCCTACTCTCAAATCCACTGGGATGGCCAGGAAATAAGAGTTTGGGGTACAAATGGGCTTTTCATCATTTTCTTCCAGGATGTTCACGGTTACCTAGAGCAACAAGAAGCGGCCATGGTTAGTAGTTAAAACTTGCTGAGAATTTTCTGTGTGCCAGGCACTGGGCAATGTGCTTTTTGTGGGCCAGCTCATTGAACCTTGCCTGAGATAGATGATATGGTTATTCCCATTCTACAGATGAGGAAACTGAGGTTTAGAGAGATTAGGTAGGGGACCTCAGGCTGTTCAGTTTGGTGAGTGGTGCATTTCAGGCAATTTGAACTCAAGCCTGTCCTACTCCAAGTCCTATGTTATTAACTTCTGTTTGTGTGTGTACATGTGCTCGTGTGCATAGTACATGTATATTCACATACCGCCCCCCTCCCCAACAAATGCATCTAGACATGTGGGCTCATCCCCAGATGATGCTGAGTGGTTTTCCCAGGAGTGATTGTGAATTTACAGTGATGTTCTATACTTACTTGCCCATCACCATTGTGAATGGGAAGTTCTGTCTTTAACTTTGGATGATGGAGCAATAATTCTCAGCCCTGGTCCCACTTTCATAGACCCTCTCTGGACCAAATGAATTGGACTATCCAGACGGTGGGGCCCAGGTACTTTTTAAAATGTTCTCCAGCTGATTCTAATATGCAGCCAGGATTCAGGACGAGATAGAAGGAGTCAACCCCGCTAAGCCAGGGTCTCATCTGTAACCTGGGCTGTTAGCACGGCACGAAGCAGGTGGCCATAACCTGTCACAAGCAGGAGCCAGCCTCTTCCCCTTCATCATTGTCTTTTATGCTTGGTGAATTGGAATGTGGCCTGGGACACCTGCCAGCACAGAACCACAGAACGTCAGCCCTGAAAGGGACTTATGTGATCATCACCCTTTTTAAAGGCTTATGAATTTTGAGTCGTATTCATTCTACCTTTGAAATTTGGGGATTTCAGCTATTTCTGAGCCCAGGAATAAATTGAAATGTTCACTCTAGTTAGCTCCCAAAGTGGAGTCCATTCATTTTTATCAAAAACCCAGCCTAACAAACACTACAATTATCTTTAACTTAGCCCGTCTTTTGCTCAGCTAGCAATGCCGAGCCTCACACATCATTAAAAACGTGTCCTGTTAATTCAAAGCCACTCATCAGAGGGACTGGACTATTCAGGCGATGGGTTATCAGGTGGTTCTCCGTTTAAGAGAGAGAGAAAATGGGACACAAAGATAAGCGTTGCTCAGACCCTCCCCCACCTTGGAAACTTAGGATCAAAGTTGGGAAATGAACTCCGTCTTCTGACTGAACCAGTTGTTCCCTGCCTCCATGCCTGCCACTAGCTAAGAGTCCGCGCTGCCGTATGCTTCATCACTTTACTAACGGGAAAGATCAGAAAATAGTTGCGTCTTCCTGGCCAATGTATTGCCTTCAGATAATGTGAACCACAGAAAGCACAGACCTGTTAAACCCTAGCTACTCAAAGGGCAGCCATGGACCAGCTACCTCAGCATCACCTGGAAGAGCATTAGAAATGCAGATTCTGTGGCACCTGGGGGGCTCAGTCGGTTCAATGTCCAACATCAGCTCAGGTCATGATCTCACAGTTCGTGGGTTCAAGCCCTGCGTCGGGCTCTGTGCTGACAGCTCAGAGCCTAGAGCCTGTTTCAGATTCTGTGTCTCCCTTTCTTTCTGCCCCTCCTGCTCATGCTCTGTCTCTCTGTCTCTCTCTCTCTTTCTCAAAAATAAGTAAACATTAAAAAAGAAATGCAGATTCTGAGGTCCACTCAGACTTGCTATCTTAGAATCTGCATTTAACCAGATGCTCAACACCAAAAGTTGAGACGCAGCACCGCCCTGGGTCAGACCACCTCATTTTAAGGTCTACCCTATCTAATGCGACACAGGTGGGGTAGGAACATGACAAAACTACTGGGGAGGGGGGAACACATGGCTACAGAACCACACCCCACTTCTAGAAGTATGCATCCCACTGTTAGCCCACGCCCACTGCAAAAACGACAAGAGATGTAGTGAGCAGCGGGAGGAAGATTGCCCACACAGCGCTCATCAATCTTGGTAACCTCCGAGTCATCCACAACCTTGGGCCTACAGATGCCAATCTTTATTTCCCAGGATCTGCTAGGTGTGTCCGAGTGTGCCATCCTGGAAACCACTAGTCGTTTCCCGTTACATCTGTCAGATGAGCTCCATTAAGATTGCTCATTGCTACAGCCATGGAAGGTGCCCAAGAGAGCCCACATCAACCATTTGGGCTGGTGTGAACACACCAATAGCCCCACTCACTGTGACTGAGCTTGTGTCCTCGCTGTTGGTGGCCTGGATTCTGAGAATATAGACAGGAGTTGTTTCATAGTCGGCTTTAGTCACCAGTTGGAGTTCTCCTGTCTGGGGATTGATCCAAAATATGTTTGGGAACTGGAGGCTGGCCCCTCCGGAGTTGATGGAGTACACGACGCGGCTCGGGGGAAAGTCCTTATCAGTGGCACGCACTTGTCCAACCCGGCTTCTCGCTAGAAGAATAAGGCACCTGAAATTAGTCCTGCTTTGGGAGGTGAGGGGAGGCTTCAGGAACACACATTCTCACTGCCACGGGCAGAAAGACTTATGGAGGTCTCTTTGCTGTTCAAACTCTATATGTTTTATGTCTTCTATTCTATTAAAATCAAATCATGCTAATGAGCACCCAATGGGTTACTGGCCCTATGATCCAAGCAGTAGAGTAAGGTGTAAAAGACAATTCAAGCTTTTATCTAGACTCCAAACACGCCAATTAGGATGTGATCATAAACAACACTGCAAAGAACATCTTCACCTGTACTCATTTTGGAGCTGTGCTGCCTAAATATCTTCTGCATCTTTCAAATTTTAACGAGCATGAATTGCTCTTATAAACAAGATGAAAAATAAAGTTTTTAAAAAAATGTTTATTTCTGAGAGTGCGAGAGAGAGACTATGGGGGAGGGGCAGAGAGAAAGGGAGACACAGAATCTGAAGCAGGCTCCAGACTAACAAATGCAGCAGTAATATGAATTCTTATGAATTCACAGATCTTATTATAATTATCGATTACCTACTTTGGGTCAAGCATTTAGTGCTGGGGTCATATAGTTAAATAAGAAGCGTCAGCTCTCAAGAGTCATGAGATCATGATCTGAGCCAAAGTCGGATGCTCAACCAAACCATCCAGGCATCCCAAAATAGAAACAATTTTTTAAAGGGTTTAGCAACCAATGCTGATTGGAGTAGAGAATTTTAAATAAAGATATAAGGAATTAAAAGGATTTTCTTCAGACCCTCTTTTTGTGCTTTGTTTAAAATTTAATATCAGGAGGGGTGCCTGGGTGGCTCAGCTGGTTGAGCGTCCAACTCTTGGTTTTGGCTCAGGTCATGATCTCACAGTTCATGAGTTCGAGCCCGCGATGGGCTCTGTGGTGATTTGGGATTCTCTCTCTCAAAACAACTAAATAAATTTTTTTAAAGTAAGCTTCTCTTTAAAAAAAAAAAAAAAAAAAAGTGGGGCGCCTGGGTGGCTTAGTCGGTTAAGCGTCCGACTTTCGCTCAGGTCATGATCTCGTGGTTCGTGGGTTCGGGCCCCGCGTCGGGCTCTGTGCTGACTGCCGGCTCAGAGCCTGGAGCCTGTTTCGGAGTCTGTCACTCCCTCTCTCTCTGACCCTCCCCTGCCTCATGCTGTCTCTCTCTCTCCTAGAAATAAATAAAACATTTAAAAAAAAAAAAAAAAGAAATCAAGGTGTCAACAAAGGGCAAAAAAAGTGGATCCTATTACCGGAGAGAAAATGTCTTTATTTTGTTTTTAAATGTACGAAACCAAATGATGGGAAATCTTTTCTCTATTTTTAAATTTCTATTCTCTGAGTGAGCTGGATAAAAATTGCAGTGGAGACTAAGGGAAAACTTAGGCTACAGAAAGGGAAGATGAGCAGAATCAGGCAGGCAGACAAGGAAGCAATCAGGGGTTTGGAGAAATGCAGTTTAAACAATAGTTTTCAAAACCTAGGTTTCACCTGAAGGGCTCCTCAGCAGTAAGGACAATTTAAAAAGAAATAAGAGCTGCAATAAACAGGAATGAGCTGTGAGTTGCTGTGCACCATGCCACCCAGGGCCCCTGTGCTGGAGGGAGCTTCTCCTCTGCTAAGTGCACATCAGGATGGAGGGGTCTGCCAAGAGCACTGGGGTCGGGGTTTTGTCTACCACTTACCTGGCCTTAATTCTGACACATCAAACACATAGGAAGGTCTATCAAAGATAAGAGGAAACTCATTTTCTGGCTTCGTGAGGATGTAAATGTAGATGTTCTCTAAAAGCAGAGACAGAAAAATAAATGTTTAATTTTAATACCCCATTCTCACTCCTTTGTTTATTCACCGTGTTTAAAGCACCTGCTGGGAACCTGCTCTGAGCAAAATAAAGGGGATTCAAGGCGAATGAGACCTGGTGGGTCCTGCTTTCCCGATGCGTAGGGCAGTTGCCCTTAGCTAAATATATGTACTGGTCACTACGGATGCCAGAGGAAGGGCCAACTGGCTCACAGGGATATTTAGTTACACAAATGGGGCCAAGGTGGAGTGGGGGTGGGGGTTCTGGGCATGTGTATGGATACCGAAGTATATACCTGCATGACTCTCTTAGGAAAACTGCAGGCTGGTGGCCTTGTTGGAAGAAGGGAGCTTAGGGGTGGGACACCAGAGCTGAAATCAGAGAGCCAGGCAGAGGCCAGGGATGAAAGTCCCTATGTGCCAAGCCAGAGACTTTGAATTTGAACCTGACAGCTACTGGGAGACACTTGGAGGGCTTTCAGCGAAGACATGATATAATGGTATTTGCGTTTCCTGAAAATCGCTGTCAGAATGTGGAGGGTACACTGGAAAGGGGCAAGACAAAAGCTAGATAGAAAGATCCTTAAAAGACTCTTAGTGTTATAATTGAGCCAAGAAAGAAGAGAGGTTCTGCATTCCATCACTGCTAGCGCGTGGGGGCGGGGCAGGAGAAAGGACTGGGAGACTCGTGACCGTGCTTGGTGAAGGACAGGAGGAGGCTGGGCTGATTCCCAAGTGTTTGGGTTTCTGAAGGCTCCTTTTGAACCCAAATGCCTAGCCCAATCCCGAGTACTGCCTAGCATGGTTTAGTTGTTGCTACGTGAAATAAAGCTTCATGAATAAATAAAAAGGATACTTGCTTTTGTGGTAAGGAGGGGCAACATCCTGCACCTGGATTATCACAGTGTACTTATTGCCGGCTGCTAGATTGCTTGTGTTTTCATAATCTAGGTGACCAATCAACTAGATTAAAACAGAGATATCATGTTAGGCAGAACAAAGAATCCTTTTAATTCAACTGACAGAGAAGACATTTTCATATACTGTTAATGGGTATGTAAAACCTTTCTGGAAAGCATGTTGCCTATTAGAGGAGCTTTAATGAATTACATCCATACCTTTGCTCACTGCTAGAGAATTGATTCCAAAGAATTTACCAGGAGAGAGAATCTATGTTTAAAGACGTTCGTCAAGCACTACTGCCCAGCGGCAGAGGCTCACGATCTCAGGTTTGTTGAAGAGAAACACAATATAGAATCCTACGAGCAGGGATCTTTCGATCATTTAAAATGTCTATGCAACTTGGGTGCCTGGGTGGCTCAGTCAGTTAAGCATCTGACTCTTGATTTTGGCTCAGGTCATGATCTCACAGTTGGTGGGTTCGAGCCCCACACTGGGCTCTGTGCTGACAGTGTGGAGCCCGCTTGAGATTTCCTCTTTCTCTCTCTCTCTCTCTACCACTTCCCTGCTTGCTTGTGCCCTCTTTCTCTCTCAAAGTAGATAAATAAATACATAAAAATTTTATGGAATATACATAAAATCGATGCCTCAGGAAGAAGACGAGAGGGTAATATATCAAAGTGTTAATAGTGGTTATCACTGAGTTGTAAGGCTTTTAGTGTTTTCTACATCCTACAGTGAAGATGTATTAATTTTCTAAACAGAAAAAAATCGAAATTATATTTTAGTTGACACGTGTGAATAAAATTGGTAAGACTTTCTTGGGGGTGGAAAAAGGGCTTGGGATGAGAGGCAAAGACAGGCTGCCTAGGAGGCTGCCTGTTCTCCTCCCTGAGGCTCTATCTCTGATGCAAAGACCTCCCCGTACTCCCAGACCATGCTCCCACCTTCTTCTGCCTTCCCCCTTCCTCTCCTCCTTCTCCATCACTCTCCGGCAGGAACCCTGTAGGTAAAGGTCTTGCACAGCCTGATTGAGACCCGTCTTCTATGGCCCTCTGTCTTCCAATTCAGCTTCTGCCCCTGTGGAGACACTGTGGAGTGGGGCACCTACACACCCCCATTTCCTCATTCTTTGTTGGGTGTCCAGTGGTTCCACATGGCTGAATTTAGCAAGACACACTCAGGGCCCTGGATTGGCTTTCTCACCCCTCACACGTCTCTGGGCCTGAGATGGGCACTCAAGTAAACAAAAGTGTGTGAGCCCAGTGGGCTCTAACTTGGCTGTAGGCACCACACTGAACAGGCATGCCAAATTGTGATGAATCCAGTCCTTAGCACCCCAGGCACAATTATGCATAACAAATGATTCCTGGTACTTGGGTAAAATAAAGAGCAAATGGGGAAAAACAGAGTCACTATTAAGTTTGTCGGTTACCGGTTACCGTCGCTTCGAGAGGGAGTTACCTTGGAAATTGCTCTCTATGGGGCAGCAAAAGCACTATGCATGTCACACCAGCTCCCCCATGCCCTTTCAATGATGCAATGACCATGAACTGACCACGATTTTTCCAGAGCCAGCTGGATCCTGTGAAAATCTGCCGCTAACCCCCACTCCAGATGGCGTGCTGAAGTTGAATTGGTTGTTTGGTGCTTTGCTGTCATCATCAGAGCAGAACTTGTTCAGGTCCAGAAGCGACGTCCCCTTGGCTGCTCTTTCAGGCACCATAATGCTGGCGAAAAGACACGATTCAATATTTTCCCCCAACAAATGGTGATTGAGTGTCGCTTCTGACAGAGTCCTGAGCTAGACACCTCTGCTTTAATTTTTGTTCAAAGCTAGTTCACAGTTACTGTGGTTACTGCCTAATGGGTTCCCTGCTCTGCCCTTCCCTCCTTTCGGACTGTTCTAAACACAGCAGCCGGAGAGATCCTGTTAAAATGTTGTCAGGTCACGCCACTCCTCTGCTCCAAAATCCCCAATGGCTTCTCATTGCACTCCAAGCCCTCACTTTGATCTTCATGATGTGCACCCCTGCCTTGCCTTACCTGTCTGAGCTCATCAGCTCAAAGGTTCCTTGCTTGCTCCCACCTTCTGCCTCCTGGTCCTCCTCGAACTCCACCCAGGCTCAGGCCTCAGGCCACCCACTAGCTCACAACTCCCTCCCCACATGTCCCCATGGCTTAGATGGGCACTTTCTTTAGTCTCCGATCCGTGGCACCTTCTCAGGAGGCCACCCTGGCGACCCTCTCTCGAATGTCAGCCACTCCCTCCCCTTGTTTCCTCTCCTGCTTCATTTTTCATCCTTAGCATAACCATTTTCCAATATACTGCATGGTTACTTATTTATCCGGTTTGTCTCCTGTTTCCCCTCCCAGAAAGTAAGCTCCAGGAGGACAGGGGCCTGTGTCTGCTCTGTTCTTGGCATGCTCACTAGTGTTTGTTGGATGGGTGAATGTTGATCCAGGAGACCAGCACAGCTGTGAGGAAGAATAATGGAGACATAGAATTCTGCCCTGCCTGCCAGGGGTTTATAACCTGGTTAGGGCAAATCCCTGGACCCTGCATGTCTCACCTCCCTCGATTTGAAAATTGGGAATTCTGTTTTAATGCCTCTGATATCATAAAAGCGTTTCCTAACACCTTAGTATCATTCACCCAATAGAGGTGTCTTTTTTTTTTTAATTAAAGTTTTTATTTATTTATTTGAGATAGAGAGTAAGAAAATGAGTAGGGGTTAGGGGAGACAGACAATCCAAAGCAGACTTTGTGCAGAAAGCCTGATGCGGGGCTCGAACTCACTAACCATGAAATCATGACCTGAGCCGAAGTGGAACATTTAACTGACTGAGCCTCCCAGGAGTCCCTGAGTAGAGGTTTTTTAAGGCTTGAATTCAGGAGTCCCAATCTCAGTTGACTCCAGTAGCACAAAGGAGTAAAGCTGCCCCCAAACTCAGAGCCATCCGGTCCAGCCTAGCTTGGTGTGGGAGGCCCCGAGGAAGTGTGATCAGTTCGTTAAGGGACTTCACCGTGTCTCCAGTTTTCAGTTTTTCCATCTATAAACTAAATCTAAATCGTGTCAGTTAGCTCTTGCTTCCTCACAAACCGGCCCAAACCTTAGTGGCTTAAAAGTATAGGCACATGAGGGCCACAGGTCTCTGCTTCATACTGTCGATAACCCTGCATGACACCGGCCGAGAATCTTCACGTGGACATCTCAGGTTCCCAAAAGTAGCAAGTGAAGACAAACCCCAGTGCATACACACCGTTTGAGCCCCTGAGGCATCATGCTTGAGTGTCCCAATGGCCAAAGCAATTGGCATGGTCAAGTCCAAATCCAAGGATCAGAGAGAGAAACCCATTTCCTGATGAGAGGAATGGCAGAATCATGCTGCCAAGGGGCGTGGGTGCAGGCAGAGAGGAATTTGTGGCTGGTGTTTGGTTTGGTTTGGTTTTTGCTATCTATCTTAATCATTTCTTTCTTAAAAAATATGTCATGGCTGCCACGAGAACGTGCCTGGAAGACCCCCAACCAAGGAGCATGACTGACCACAGACCCCAGCTGCTGTGCTCTGAAATCCATTGTTTCATGTGCTGACTTTGCAGAAAAAGCTAGAACATTTCCACCCACCCTCTCTCCCTTCACTCAGATCAGACTTGCATCATGGTCGGATGGCTCCCGAAGCCTACTCTTAGCTCTCTCTGTTCTCCCCTCCCCCACAGCCATGCCCCCCTATAAAAGCCTCACACATTTAATCCTGTCTTAGTGTCTTGTTCTCAGAACACCAGACTAACGTGTGTTAAGTTCCCTAATCCTCTGCACTATCACCTCTCTCTCCAAATTATATTCCCTTCTACATCCCACATCATCTCTCTCTCTCTTTTTTAATGTTCGTTTATTTTTGAGAAAGACAGAGAGAGAGAGAGAGAGAGACAGTGCACAAGCTGGAGAGGGACAGAGAAAGAGGGAGACACAGAATCTGAAACAGGTTCCAGGCTCTGAGCCATGAGTACAGAGCCCAACACGGGGCTCCAACTCATGAACTAAGCCGAAGTCAGATGCTCAACCGACTGAGCCACCTAGGTTCCCCCTATACCATTTCTTTCTTTCTTTTTTTTTTTATGTTTTTTAATTTATTTCTAGGAGAGAGAGAGACAGCATGAGCAGGGGAGGGTCAGAGAGAGAGAGGGAGTCACAGACTGAAACAGGCTCCAGGCTCTGAGCTGGCAGTCAGCACAGAGCCCGATGTGGGGCTCGAACCCACGAACCGCGAGATCATGACCTAAGCGAAAGTTGGATGCTTAACCGACTAAGCCACCCAGGCGCCCCCCCCATACCATTTCTTAATGCCATCTAATGTGGGCTCTGGGCTCAACAAATGTCTGAAGATAAATGTCTGACAGCAAGGATGGTTTTGGGCTGTTGAGGATAATTGGGCTTGCTTCCTGGAAAGCATTTTTTCTGACAGGTACCTATTTGGCAAAGACAACTTCTGTTTCAGCAGAATTGGGGCCCAGATATTTTTATTCCTGTCTTTACTATACACAGTCATAGTTTTATTCATAAGTGCTTAGAATAGGTGTCACTTATTAAACACCAATTATATACTGTATCATAATAAGCACCTTAAAAACACTATCTTTAGGGACAACTAGGGGGCTCAGTCACTTAAGCATTGGACTCTTGATTTCAGCTCAGATCATGATCTCAGCGTGGTGAGATCGAGCCCTGCATCAGACTGCACACTGAGTGTGGAGCCTGCTTAAGATTCTCTTTCTCTCTCTCTCTCTCTCTCTCTACCACTCCTGCTCTCTCTCTAAAAAACAAAAACAAAAAAACCCCCAAAAACCCAAGGGGTGCCTTGGGTGGCTCAGTTGGTTAAGCATCCAACTCTTGGTTTCAGCTCAGGTCATGATCTTGCAGTTTGTGAGCTCGAGCCCCACATAGGGCTCCATGCTGCTTGGGGTTCTGTGTCTCCCTCTCTCTCTGCCCCTCCCCTGCTCATGCTCTCTCTCTCTCTCTCTCTCTCTCTCTCAAAATAAATAAATAAATATTCAAAAATGCTTTTAGGGGTGCCAGGGTAGCTCAGTTGATTAAGCGTCTGACTTCAGCTCAGGTCATCTTCTCACAGTTCGTGAGTTTGAGCCCCATGTCAGACTCTGCGCTAACAGTGCAGAGCCTGCTTGGGATTCTCTCTCTGCCTCAGATCGGAAGAGCGCGAGCCCCACATAGGGCTCCATGCTGCTTGGGGTTCTGTGTCCCTCTCTCTCTCTGCCCCTCCCCTGCTCATGCTCTCTCTCTCTCTCTCTCTCTCTCTCAAAATAAATAAATAAATATTCAAAAATGCTTTTAGGGGTGCCAGGGTAGCTCAGTAGGTTAAGCATCCTGCTTTGGCTCAGGTCATGATCTCGCAGTTTGTGGGTTCAAGCCCCAAGTCGGGCTCTGTGCTGACAGCTCAGAGCCTGGAGCCTGCTTTGGGTTCTGTGTCTCCCTCTCTCTCTGTCCCTCCCCTGCTTGTACTCTGTCTGTCTGTCTGTCTCTCTCAAGAATAAGTAAATATTTTAAAAAATTAAACATGAATAAATAGACATTAAAAATTTTTTTAAGTTTAAAAACAAACCCCAAAAACCAAAACTGAAACAAGCAAACAAACACTATCTACAATTCTCTGTCTTCAAGAGCTTTGTATTCTTGTCCTCATTTTGCAGGTAGAGAAAGAGTGGCCCAAGACAGCTGGTGCAGGCAGGCATGCTTCTCTATTGTCTGTGTTAGTAAATTCTAGTTAAGGTCCATCAGTGACTCTGCAGGCCACAGACAGTTTGGGGATCTGGACCTTGATTCCAACTCTATGGAAGCCAAGGTGTTGCATCATCCAAAGAATCCAGGAGCCTGAAGCCAGACCTGTCATGCACTCCGCCTCTCAGGGCTGCCTCGCATGTTTTCATTCTTCCCTGACAGTCAGAATTCTTCCCCCAAATGTGTGACTTGGAAAGCCGCTCCCCCTCATTCATCAAGCCCTGCCTCAAAGGCTGGCTGCCCTCGCCCCCAGCCATCTGACCACGTTCCCTCCCCACGCGAAGGTGATTGGCCCCACTGCAGTCTGAGTCTGCTGACCTTCTCCGCCTCTGGCTCACAAACAGCTTGCGAAGCGCTTTCAGCCAAGTGCAGGACAATTTACAACCGGAGCGGGGGCTGTCAAGGCGCCTTTGATGCCTCCACCCGGCCCAGGGCTCTTTCATCACCAGCCTGGGAAAGCCGCAGGGGCCTCACTGCTAAGGGCTATTTCCATCTCTAGGCCAGCCAGAGAGCCTGCAGGGACCCCGTGTGACCCAGGGGGGCAGCAGGGAGCTGGCCACCTGCCTCCGACCCACTGCGTGCTGGCGCCCTCCCACTCTCTTCTACCTGCTCTCCCAAACTCCCCTGCGGGAAACATGCCGGGAGCCCTGAAGAAGGAATAAATCTTCAGGGGCCTGTGTTGTCAGAGCTGGTGACTGCACCGTCGTGTTCTGTTGGGTTTTGACCCACCTAGGTGCACGGCGAGAGTGGAGAGGGAGTATGGACAGGTGGTGGGTGATGCCCCTGGAGTTTGCAAATAAGGCTGGGCTTTTGGAATAAAGACTTTGACCTCCGGGACTGCAGAAGGAGCCCTTTCGTGGTCCCTCCTCACATCTTGGCTTTCAACAGGCTGCCTACAGCCTGGACAAGCCCCGAGGAGGGACTCGAACATTGCTGAGAGCTACTTTCAGTAATCAATACAGTTAGTCCAGTTACTCCTTGGCGTTGACCTTCACGGCTAATTTGGAGAGAAGATTATCAAGAGCAGAGCTCTGCATGAGCTTGCCTGGACAGTCGAGGATATTCACACTGTGGTTTCACCGGCGAATATGGAATGCAGTCTGCAAACTGTCATTCTACACGCCCCGGGGAGTCTGGACCGCAGGAAGCCACAGTACACGGCTTGCAGAAGTGCACCAGGAGGGGAGAAAACAGGCAGGGAAGATTGGAGACAGCATGGCCTCTCTAGCCATTGCTTCTCAGAGCTCTTACACCTCAACCCACAGCCTCCACTTCTCAGGGTGGCAGAGCAAAGGAGAGCAGGAGGGCAGAAGGGCAGGGCACAGGGACAAGAAACAGAGCCACCCAAGAGTGCTAGCATAGATTTCGATTTTCAAAGAAAGTGTGACCCTGTATGGCATCTTTGCTCCATCCCCAGGGCCCAGACTCAGCAGAGGTGGGTTCCATTTCTGCGTATAATAGTGTGTGGGGCGCCTGGGTGGCTCAGTCGGTTAAACAAATGACTTTGGCTCAGGTCATGATCTCACGGTTCGTGGATTCAAGCCCCGCGTCAGGCTCTGTGTTGACAGCTGAGAGCCTGGAGCCTGCTTCAGATTCTCTGTCTCCCTCTCTCTCTGACCCTCCTCTGCTTGTGCTGTCTCCCCAACTCTCTCTCTCAGAAATAAATAAAACATTAAAAAATTAAACAAAAAATAGTGTGGAAGTCACCACCCTAAGTACCCATGGCAACCATCCCCACCCATCAAACGGACTCTAAGGTTAGGGTTGGAATAGAAACCTATTACCTGGTCAAGGCTATTGTTGAGTTGATGGGGGCCTCAGCTGGAAGCAGATGGCAAATTAGGATAATTCTCAGAGGGTGCACAAGGGGTATATGGAAATCCCCGAGGGATGGGGCAGGTATCTCAGAGCTGGTAAGAGTGGAGCTCCTTTAGCTCTAGGCTCTAGGCTCAGAGGAGCCAGTGGAGGGAGCAGTTCCTGAAGCTGGAACAGAGACAGATAACTGTGCAGAGGACTGCCTTATAGGATCTGGGGACTTCAGGAGGTGGGGGACTTCTCCAGCTGACAGTCATGGAACCAGATGGATAAATACCCCAACTTCACTCTGTCTCTCATTCCAGGGCCACTCATTGGCCAACCAGAAGAAGCTGCAGGGCAGGGGGCCAAGTGCTTACCACATAGGTCAGTCCCTCAAAGAGTAGGGTGGGGTAGTGCGGAGGCTGGATCTGGAGGGGCAAGTCAGATGTGTCCAAAACTGGGTTTAATTGTTCCGGTACCAGCCTCTAGGGCACACTGACTTTGAGCATCACCCCAGGCATGCCAACTGAGAAAACAGGGAGATGCTCATACTCATAATAACAGAATTTATTCATATCTCTACTGCTGACCCTTGACAATCTTTGTCTTTTGTCCTTTATCCTAGGGTCCTCTGTCTTTTGCATGCCACACTATGGATTGGACCTATGTCCAAAGTCACCTGGAGCTTAAAAAGTGACCTTGCAAAACCTGTCAAAGATGAACTCAGAGGAGGACTCTTGCCATGGGGACATCTGAAAGGGGACCTGCTTGGACTCAATTGAGCCTTGCTCCAGACGTAGGGCACTCTCCAGATGCCAGTGTCACTGTGGAGGTGCCCTCCCACCCCCATGAGGAACCACCTTCATGGTCCCAAGAGATTGAGACTAGCAAGTAAGAAGCCACAGAGAAGCAAGTAACCTGGGGAACTACTAATGTAGCATTTAGACAAAATACTTAGTAGGGAGACAGTGCCATTTTCAAAAAGGCATATTAAACCAGACACAAGGGACCTTATTTTTATTAAAAATTTTTTAAAATATTTATTTATTTTTGAGAGAGACCAACTGCAAGTGGGGGAGGGGCAGAGAGAGAGAGAGAGAGAGAGAGAGACAGAATGAAGCAGGCTCCAGGCTCCAAGCTGTCAGCTCAGAGCCCGATGCGGGCCTCGAACTCATGAACCGTGAGATCATGACCTGAGCTGAACTCGGACACTTAACTGATGGGGCCACCCAGGCGCCCCAAGGGACCTTATTTTTAACTAATACTGAACAGGCTGTGACACAAAGAATAGGTCAACGTGTGCAAAATAACTTGTTTCTGCATTCCCTCCCTTTTGGTTGCCTTTTGTTTACGGGCAATTAAGTTGTGTAAGGTGAATTAAATGCTTTGTTTTGTTTTAGGTAAATACTTGGTTTGATTTATTCCTATTCCTGGTGGTGTGTTTCTCTGGGAGCTCCTGGCTACTAATCCTAAGTCTCAAGTATCTATTATAACTGCTAACTAACAGTGCTGTCCTGCCACCAGAGGCAATAAATAAAGAAAAGGCACATTCCAGAGAGAGTCTCACAAATCCCGTGGTACTTTTCACCAAAGAAGATGAACATGCTATAGAAGAGAGCAAGAAAAAACAAAACAAACAAGGAAACAAGAAATTTGGGGGGGCAGAGTACAAAAGTGGAGAAGGGAAGCAATGAAAAAGAAAGAAAAAAAGAGGGAAATAAAAAAGGATCGAGAAAGAAAAACCTATCAACCAAACTGGACACCTCAAGTATGTTGGCTTACATTCTGGAGGCCTGTCCCAGATGCCCATGATTCTTTGATCCCTGTCAGAGAAGGCACAAGGTTGAGGACCACCGAGGAGGGGAGCCACCCAGCACGTGAATACCTGAAGGTGAACTTGGTACAAGTAGGAGGGTTGTCATTAATGTCTTCCACAACGAAGGTTATCTGCATGCGATTCTCTTGGCCCCCCGAGGGTCTGTCCTTCACCAGAACTTCCAGAGAAATGGTGGGATTTTGTCTTAATTGACCTGCATCTCGGTCTAGCCTGCGGGCCACTTGGATCGTACCGGTCACTAAAGAGGCAAACGTGAGAGCATTACCCTTTGGAACTTGAAGGCGATTGGAGAGATCACTGTGATATGAGGACTGGCTTGTATGGACAATACCCTCTGTACAAACACATGTTTAAAAACTCATGTACATTCCTATATTAGACATTGATCGGGGTGCCTGGCCTGACTCTTCTAGAACTTTTCACGTCTAACTTCAGGGTTGGGTCCCGTTCCTTGCCCATAGTTGACCAGACTGGTAGACAGCTGACTCCAGTTTGACCCACTAGTTCTCTTACTGGGGAATGTGTAATGGAGAGACACATAAGTCAGGGTACCAGTGGAGTTACAGATCAGAGGCCAGACTCTAGCTATGAGGGCGGATGGGAGAAAGCTGTTTCGCACTTTCCTGTGCCTCACCGGTTCTCATGAGCTACCCAGGGTCCTGTTGATATATGTCCCCTACCTTTTTTTTTTTTTTTTTCTTCTGGTGCTTGGTTTGGCTTGCCTTCATTTCTGTTACTTGAGACCGGAGCCTCAATAAATACTTTCCAAAAACCCACCACATTTGTTAAAAATTGCATTTGCAATACTAGAGTGAGCAGAATTCTAAGCCATGACTGTTCACCCCTACCCCATCAGCTGAGTGAGGTCCTTGATGACAGGACACTAGAAAGTTTTCGGAACTGGAGCATAATTATTGCATTAGCCTGCTTCTTCTGGACCAGACATCCTTTGCTGTAAAGCCGATGGGGTAAATAGCACATTGTGTTTCTGGGATTGGCCGATGCCAGGCTTCACAAAATCATTATGTAAAGTGAAGTCCTTAGGAGGGTTGTGATAGGAGCTTATGAGGTGGTATAGCCTAGGAGAGGTCTCTGGAATCACAGCTCTGGTTAGTGTCTCAGCTTCACAGTTCACAAGCCGTGAGACCTTGGACAAGTCACTTAGCCTGTCTGAGTCTCTCTCTGAGCCTAGTTTCCTCATCTATAAAGTGTAGATTATGATAATTTATTGGGTTGCTGTGCTGAGTTCTTAGATGGAATACATATACATCACCTAGTATAGCACCTGGTATATACTGAGACTCCAGTAAAGGATGGCTGTCACAGGAGGGGGAAACCCTCCTTCTCCACACTGACACGTTTAGATGGGAAAGTAACTCCCAGAAACCCGGCAGATTGATCTAGATTGATGCAGTCCGACACGGTAACCACTAGCCACGTGTGGCTCTTTAGCACTTGAAATGTGGCTAGTCCAAACTGAATGTGTGGTAAATATAAAATGTTTCAAAGACTCGATACAACAAGATCATGTAAAATACTCCAGGAGTCACTTTAAAATATTAGTTACATGTTAATGACAACATTTTGGACATGTTGGTTCAGTAAAATGCCTTATGAAAGTTCATTGTACCTGCTTATTTTTACTTTTTAAACATGTGGCTGCTGAACTTGAAAATTACATACGTGGGCAGTGGCACCTGGGTGGCTCAGTCGGTTAAGCGTCCAGCTCTGGGTTTCAGCTCAAATCATGATCTCAGTGTTGTGAGTTTGAGCCCTTAATCGGACTCTGCGATGATCTCTCAGAGTCTGCTTGGGATCCTCTCTCTTCCCCCCCATCTGCCCCTCCCCTGCTCTCTCTCTCTCTCAAAATAAGTAAAATAAACATTAAAAAATTACATACGTGGGCTTCCATTCTATTTATTTTATTTGGCAGTGATGGTGTGGATCCCCTTTAGAGAAGACTTCACTCAGGAGAGTGAACTCATTCCTTGTTAGATACTCACCTGCTTCAAAGGTGAACTAGTGATGTGACCTTGGGGTCCCATTCAGAGTCCCCAACCCCTCTGCTAGCTGCTTTTAATATACCTATTACCCTGGTAAGTTATGATACTCTAGACAGAAAGACATGCCCCAGACCAGAAGACGAAAATATTTGTAAAACAATCCGAATGGCTGGATTAAAGGATGCACAGAAAGGTGAGTGTGTGTGCATATGTGTGTGTGAGTGTGTGTGCATGTGTGTGTGTGTGTGTGACTTACACTGGTTGATCATGAAATAGCTGTTCGCAGTGGTGATGCTGTAGAGGAGGAAGCTGGTAGAACCTTTATCATCGGGGTCCTCAGCTGTGATATTGGCCACGATGGTGCCCAAAGCCAGCTCCTCGGGAATCGAGTACAGTCGTGCTGGGCTGGAACAGAAGTACAGCAGACACAGCTCATTTTCAGGGGCACGGGAGGGTGGAGTCTGGGAGGTGGGTATTTTCGTTAGTGCTAAATATAGCGCTGAGCTTTTGAACTTGCATCTGCAGGCTCAGAGAAAGAACTCAGCAGCTGAAAGGAGGGGTGGCCGGCTTTTGTATTTCCAGAGCTCGCGTCCCTGTGGATGCGGAGAAAGTGCCACGCTGTTACCGCCACCATTTACAGTGGCCTTGGCCTCTGACTCTGCTCACACTTGATGCTGTTTCAGTTCTGCCTGCATGTTAACATCCTCCACAATAAGGATAGTTGGCCCATCCAGCCATGTTTTCTCCTTCTGCAATTCTTGTGCAAAAGCTCCCAGAATGGTTGTATGAAATCCAGCTGGACACAATGTCCACAGCTACAGATTCCTGACTGCCAGCCTATGGCTGCGACAGGAAGCTATGATAATAAACTGCAAACACTTTTTATTTCTTCTTTGTCTTTTGGGTTGTTTTTTTAATAATTAAAAAATTTTTTTACCTTTTTTTTATTTTTGAGAGAAAGACAGAGAAATAGAGAGCATGAGTGGGGGAGGGGCAGAGAGAGAGGGAGACACAGAATCCCAAGCAGGCTCCAGGCACTGAGCTGTCATCACATAGCCTGACACGGGGCTCAAACTCACAAACTGTGAGATCATGACTTGAGCCAAAGTTGGATGCTTAATGGACAGCCATCCAAGCTTCCCCCTCCCCTTTTTGTTTTGCCTGAAGAGGCAGAATTTACACACAGAACTTGTGCACCTTTCTGAGTTGCATTTATCTTAAGATCAGGTCTTTGAACAGAGAAATGAGCCCCCCTCAAGCAGAAGCCAAGGTCAGTGCACTGTCCTCCATGGATGGTTTCCTACAAGATAATGCCAAACTGCCAACCTACTCATCTTCCTCAGACCTCCATTGCCTTTGGAAAAGACTGATAATAAGAGAGAGGTTCAAGGTTTTAACTTCACGACTTGGGCAAATTGAGTAATTTTGAATGCACCAAGGGAGGTTTATTGTTTGGAATAACCCTGCAGGAAATCTTTTTGCTCAGGGAAATCATTTCAGTGGGGCAAATAATCACCTCTGATTTACCAGTTTCTTAAGTCTGGATTTTCCCACGTGTGATCTTCCTTTAGAAGGGAACACTGTATCTCAGGTTTAAATGATTGCATGCATTTCATGAGCTCAGAATTTTTCTTTGGTTCCGTCTCATCCTCCCTGTAGGGTAGATGGGACCAGAGGGAAGAGGAAGGAGAAGGAGCCTCCAGCTAGCATCAGATGCAGGCAGAGAGAGGCTGCGACCAAGCTCCCCCTCACCGGGGTTTCTGCCCGAGTCCTGGGTCTGACCCCCCCATTCCCAAAGTGACCTCCTGTTGGTGCACCCCATTGTTAGGGGACAGTAATCTTGTTCAGGCCAAGAGGCCACCCCAGTGCTCTGGGCCTTTTCCCTCCCAATGCCTCACAGAGGCTGCCCATTGATCCATTTACTTACCTGACCCCCTTCTCAGCAAATCTAGGAGTACCCCCACCGAAGGGTCAAGAATAGACAAAGCGGGGTGTGGGGAGCAAGGAGGCTGGAGTAGCAGGAAATGAAGCGAGAGCCAGGGGAGAGAGAGACAGACCAACGGCCAAAGCTAGACTGAGCCCTTACGTTCATTATGTGAGAGTCCCTGTTTCCAAGGCGTTCTATTTTTTCTTTGGTTACTTTGAATGGGTTCCGTTAACTCGCAACAAGGAGATTGCTAAGAGTTCTGTGCTACCTTGTCCCTGCTGCTCCATGTGTGGTCACTGCATGGTCCACAGGCTCCCTGGGGAGTCTGGATCTGAATGCAGAACTCAGGCCAGCTGCAGACCACTGAATCAAGATCTGCATTCTCACAAGATGCCCAGGGATTTGTATGCACTTTAAAGTTTGAGAAAGAACGAACCCTCATAAGGAATCAGCAGAGGTGACAGCCACAGATACCCAACCTGTCAGGATGGAGGACACCTTGAGAGGAGCAACCGCTTCCTCCTACCCTCCCTTCTTCCTTTTAAGACAGTGGTTCTCAGCTGAGGGTGACGATGTTGGTTGTTACGGCAAGGGGGAGGGGCTGCTATTGGCATCTAGGGAGTAGAGGCCAGGGACGCTGCTGAACACCACGGTGCACAGGACAGCCCCCACCACACGGAAGCAGCCAGCTCACAATGTCAGTAGTGCAGCTGTTTAAGACACCCTGTTCTGCAGGCTCCTCTGGTCCATGCTGGGCACTCCAGGAAATGAGGTCCCCGTGAAGGGAGCCAGTCAGGCTACTGGACAGTGCGACCAATATTGTCTGGTCTGATATTGAGGCTGGCAGAAGGCAACATCTTTGGTTTATTTGGCCTGGGCATGCCTGACCCAAGTAGGTATAAAATATCCTTGAACATGGAGGTGTTACCCTCGTCCCACAGTTGAGATCTATTCAAGGGCAGCAAAGCCAGGAGTCCTGTGGCCACTGACAGGGTTGAGCTCTAATATCACTTACATTCCCGCACCCTCCTCTGCCATTAACCCCAGATCACCAGAACCTGGGTGAGGGGGAGACAAGGGCCAATGGCCACACTCACAAAGAAGGGCATAAATCCTGGATGACCTCAGAGGGCCTCGTTGTTACAAATGACTTTGCGGTAAGTGCATAAAGTGTGTATGCATTGCGAGACCCTAGGTTAAAAAGGACGGTGGGTAAATACAAAAGAAATGGGCAGCAAGGGAGAGACTGCCCAAGTCTACAGTAAAGTGTGCTGTAAAAAACAAGCATTGTACTTGCTGTGTAGACAGTAAATAGAAGTCAAGTACTTTTGTAATAAAGTGCTCGACTGTAATAATAGCAGAATCCTAGAGTACACAACTGAGTCCACAAAGCATTCAGATGTTTGTCACCACCCAGGGATAAATGGTGAGCCATTTTCAACAAGACAAACAGGGGCGCCTGGGTGGCTCAGTCGGTTAGGCATCCGACTTCAGCTCAGGTCATGATCTCACAGTCTGTGAGTTTGAGCCCGGTGTGGGGCTCTTTGCTGACAGCTCAGAGCCTGGAGCCTGCCTCAGATTCTGTGCCTCCCTCTCCCTCTCTCTCCCCAACTCTCCCACTCATGCTTTGTCCCTGTCTCTCAAAAATGAATAAATGTTAAAAAAAAACACACACACACACAAACAGGGGCTCCTTGGTGACTCAGTTGGTTAAGCGCTGACTTCGGCTCGGGTCATGATTTCACGGTTCGTGAATTCGAGGCCCGCATTGGGTTCTGTGCTGACAGCTTGGAGCCCGGAGCCTGCTTCAGATTCTGTGTCTCCCTCTCTCTCTGCCTCTCCCCCACTTGTGCTCTGTCTCTCTCTGTCTCAAAAATAAATAAACAAAAAGAATTAAAAAACAAACACAAACAGTACCTGCTTTGGTTGTATTAATTGCAGGACCTTACCAAAGGGTAAAGAGAGAAGACTTATTTCTGCATTCCGCAGTCCTATGTCACATTCCAGTTCCATATACTTGAGTCCATGTGAGGATTGAATCGCATGAATTCTCAATTAAATAACTTAATGGGTAGTCCTAGCACTGGTTTTTTTTTTTTTTTTTTTTTTGGTGGGGGGTGGGGGGGAAGAAGGATCATGGCTCAAGGGAATCATGAAAGCCCTCAAAGCCAGCACCTACTTTGAACCAGAGCCAACTTTCAAATTGTGAGTGGGTGAAGGACAAGATTGACTCTAACCCAGCGGCCTGGGCAGAGTCAGGGTGGCCACCCTGCCCCAGTGCTCTCAGGGACAGGCTCTCGCAGACCCATCTCTACCCACAGGCATGGATCGTGGTTTGAAACAAAGTTGGATGATTTGTTACAAACCTTAAATGGTCACATAGATCATGCTCTCTGTCTGAAACAGAGCCTAACAAGTTCATTTACAAAAATGAGAACCAGAGGTCCAGACCTACTTCTGGGGGGTCGCAACAACCAGCCAACGTCATGTTCTCTTTCTCCTGAGGCCATTTGCTTTATTTTGTAAGACACAGTCCAAACCAGATCGTTCTTTGGACCTTTGGAGAACTTCTTGTTTTCCCCGTTGCGATCGCATTAGCCTGCTCCCCCACCTCACAGGTTGGAAGGTGGGGGCAACGTTGCAGAACACGTTGGCTCTGGCCCTGGAGCCATCACCTGCCTCTGGGGGTTACCGATAAGTCTGTACTGCTGTGTTGGCTAATACTTGAGTCTGAATCCAGGCTGGGGTGTCACGGCTATTTATAAACTGCCTGTACTCTGCTCCCGGAAGAACCCATCAGCAGAAATGCATTGCATCATCCTTCTGAGCTGAACCTGGCAACGGGCGTTGATGGGAAGCATTATGTGGGAGTGTGTCTGCTGTCCTTCCCTACACATTGACATCCAGCAACAGGGCTGTAGATAGTTAACATCCAGAAGTTTCACAATTGTGGTGTGTTTTGCTGAATGGCAGCAGGCTGGCCTGTGCATAGGGTGGCCTTAATAGCTCCCAATCTCTGAACGCAAGCATTCCGTGTAGTTCTGGGGTCTCCATAGCTGAATTTATTCACGGCCGTTACAGTAGTTATTAGCACTTAGCAGGCAGGTGATTCTGCTAGTTTCATCATGGCTGGCTCTTGAACCCGCCTCGGCAACCAAGGCAGGAAGAGCCTGGTAACCAGCAAGCCAGGCTGTTTGCAGAGTCACATGCTAGCTCAGAATCCCATCTTCCCCGCCTAAACCCCTACCCATAACAGGCTTGGGGCTCCCCTTTACACCTGGGCTGGTGCAGGCCCATTCCCACAGGCTGCCTGCACCAACTCACGACCTTCCTCCCCTCTGCTATGTGTGGGAACTGTCAGATAAGCCAGATCTCTTTTCTGGATCACCCCTGACAGGAAGACACTTGGAGCACCCCACAGCGGGCAGGCCTCTTAAGTATCATTGACAGAGACCTCTCCTTGGTCAGAGAGGATAACATTCTAAGAGTGGGTACTACAGGGGTGCCTGGGTGGCTCTGTTGGTTGAGAGTCTGGCTTCAGCTCAGGTCATGATCTCACGGATCGTGGGTTCGAGCCCTACGTCGGGCTCTGTGCTGACAGCTAGCTCAGAACCTGAAGCCTACTTCGGATTCTGCATCTCCTTCTCTCTCTGCCCCTCCCCCACTCACGTTCTGTCTCTCTCTCCCTCAAAAATAAATAAACATTAAAGCAGGCTTTACAGAGCCTTGACTGATGATGGGTGCCCTAGGATTTTGCTATTATTCATGCTGAACAGTCTATTATAAAAGTATCTGCCTTATATTTACCTTTTACACATGACCAGCGGCCAGCTCCACTCTAGGGGCATCACATCCGGCCCTTTCTCCTCCCTCCCCAGCACACCCACAATCCCTCCTGTGGAGGAAAGGGGAGTCAAGTTGGAAGATGGAAACCTAGAGGTTCAGAGAGAGAGGACACTGAAGATCTCAGGCCTCTTGTGTCTTCTCTGGGCCAAGGCAGAGGGCATCCCTCTGTCTTGTTTGAAATGTGTCTGAGAAAGCTGGGCCGCCTAGGAGAGATGATGGCTGTGGCCCACGGAGCTCTGCATGCCCTTGGACCTACCTGGTAAAGCGAGGGGTTTCATCGTTGATGTTCCCAATATTCACCTGGAGTGTCGTGGAGGCTTCGAGCCCTTGGCTATCTCTCACTCCGGCAGTGAGGAGGAAACTGTCAGGGAAACACCCCAAATGAGCGAATCAAGGTTTGCTGATGCTGCCTTAAAGTGGAGTGGGAGGAAAATGGGGTGGGGGGCAAATGGGGTGGGAGGAAAAAGGGGTGGGAAGGGCAGGGGGAGAAGTCTGCTCCCCTCTGGCCACCTTCCTCCACATGCTCACGCAGAGTCAAGAACTGTCTACCCTTCTTTCCTCACCTCTAAAAACCCACTCCTCCACTTCCCTCCCCCCTGTAGTGCTTATTCCCCAGGGGCTGCTCACACCTGCCACGTTGCACGCTGTGTCTCTGTTGCTCCTCACAGTATCGCTGCCGACACGTATCGTGCCCGCGTGAGGAAACCGAGGCTCCCATGGATGAAGTAAGCAGCCTGGTTCTCAGACCAGGCAAGGAGCCAAGAGCCAAACCTGGGTTGGACCCGTGTCACCCTGTGTGTTTGTGTCCTCAAACCCTGGTCTCTCCTCGCCTCTTTCCTCAGCCGCCTGCTGGCCTCTACCCTGCTCTGCTGCTGTGACGCTAGCAAACAGCTCTGACGGCAGCAGCCACTCCCAAGCCAGGAAGGCATCTGAGGCAGTCCTCCAGATTCTTTGAGACACATTCATTCCTCCATTCTCGTTATCTGGAGATGAGGGTTTGGAGGCAGGGAGGAGGCCTTCCAGATGATTTTATTCCCTCTTTCTTTTCGGGGCTCACTACCCTATGAACTTAGCAAAAAAGCAGGAAACCGCTCAGGGCCTCCCTCGCTGCCTTCAGACTGGACCACGGGTGCTCCTGGACCCTCAGATAAATAGTCCTTCAAGCAAGGTCATTGGCAAAGGCTACCTTTTGTGTCCTGCTTCAAAGTCAAATTCTGTTGTGGAGAAGAGGGTCCCATTAGCAGACAGTGCGAAGTTCAATGAGGGAAATATCAGGAAATACTGAAAAACAAGGAAGTGAAGAATGTAACTAAGAGTATCTATTCATCTTTCCCCAGGAGACTAGTTTGTTCAAATCCCATTTTATATTCTTGACCCATGGGACATTCTCGATGCATCGAACATTTACATTCTCTTGACCCATAGACTCAAAGGCCCAATGTATAGTTCTCAGACGTAATGGTTCTTGACGCAAGAAAGTTCTGGATCTGCTGGTCTGAGCCTCTGACCTGAGAAGCTACACCCTGAGGAGCTGGTCTCTGGGTCCTGCCTCAATTACAGAGCCAGTGTAAGGGTCCCCTGTCTATGCCCTCTGCTTCTGAGTCTAGTCTCCTTTCCTCTGTCACCATGTTCTCACGTTTGCTTCTCAGGATGATGTCTGGCTTTGAGTCTAGGTCTTGGCTTTAGCCCACACTGTTTAAACACAGCATGCATTAAACATTTAAACATGCATTAGGTAATAGGGTGAGACTAAAGGAAATAAGATCTGGTCTCTACCCTTAAAAGAACTTATGATAGAGTAGGATGCAAAAATGTTTACAAACATCATTCACTCAAATGATGGAAGGGAAACGGGAAGGGACCAGTGGGGGAGAAAGAGAAAGTTAACAGGGCCTCAAGGCCAAACTGCAAGCTGGTTTGGAGTGATAAGGGCTATTTTAGAGTCTGATCTCAGGTTGATAGCCACCTGAGATGGCCAAGTCTTTGCACATTTTGGGGAGTTGAGAGTCTCATCCTTTATGGCTCCCAGTGCCCAGCCCAGGTCTCCTGCTGACCCCCTGCTGACCACCACTCATTCTGATGGGAACACAGGACTATCTGCACAGCCCACCAAGGGCCAGCCCATAGGAGGACCACCTCTGTGCTCTCCGTGGGTGCTCATCAAGATTGCTTCCTTGCTCCCATCACAGAGTTAATGAATCAGACAAAGGACCTGGATCAGAAGAGCTGAGTCCAATTTCTGGTCTTCACCCCAGGATCTGGGACAAGTGCCTTCCTTGCCTGTAAAACATGGACGATACCACCAACTGCTCCTCCGTGTTTGTACGAGGATTGAATCAGAATGCACACTTGAAAATGTGAAGAGCCATGGCTACACTCTAGGCTTACATGTTTATATCCATCTGTTCCAAAGGGCTTTGGGGTTTGAAGGTTTCGTTATTTCCTACTAGGATGAGAGATGATCTATCCTCAAGGCCTTAGATCTCTGGATCAGATAATCAGTGGAGATTTTGCAATCAGAGCCACAGCCCCTGAAGTCTAGACTCAAAGGAAATACAGCCAAGGTTTCCAACCTGGCAATTTGCTGTGTTGTGTGATTGCAGCTAAGCTCCCCATAGAAGAGAAAAGAGAATGCACAGAAAATAGATTAAAGGTCTCATTAGGGGCAAATATAAGGTTTTAAACCATTTCCCTGATTGCAATAAGACATATTTTTTACACACAAATTAGGAAAGAAAGAAAAGTATTAGAAAAATACCCAATATTAGTCACCTGTAAAATCCCATCATTTTCACGAATACCTTCTGGGTTGTTTTGTTTTGTTTTTTCAGTAGGCTCCATGCCCAGCATGGAACCCAGCACAGGGCCCAGCACAGGGCTTGTTGAACTCATGACTCTGAGATCAAGACCTGAGCTGAGATCAAGAGTAGGATGCTTAACCAACTGAGTCACCCAGGTGGCCCAATTCTGTTCTTTTCTATGCAAACATATACCCTCCAGAAAATGAGATGATACTCTTGTCAAAATTACATTCTCTTGTTCTTTTCACTTGTAGCTTGAGCACTTCTCCATGTTCTTAAAACATTTTTTAAAAAATTTTTAACGTTTTTATCTGTTATTGAGAGGCAGAGAGAGACAGAGAATGAGCATGGGAGGGGCAGACACAGAATCTGAAGGAGGCTCCAGGTTCTGGGCTGTCAGCACAGAGCCCAATGCAGGGCTCCAACTCAGAAAATGCGAGATCATGACCTGATCCAAAGTTGGCAGCTTAACCGATTGAGCCACCCAGCGGCCCCTCCCCCCCCCATATTCTTAAATTTTATCTTACAGCCTGGTTGGTTAATGATGGCACAGCATTCTACTGTAGGCTTATTTTACCAAGGACTTCTTGCTGGTTCTTACCCATCTTTAAGGGAAAATACTTGGGCAGCACCAAGGAACGCTCTTCTTCTATCCCCCCAAATTGCATAAGCAGCTTGGCAGCACTAAAAGGTATGATGTTTAAATCCTAAGCCCCCACCAGCTCTCCAGCTCACAGCCTGGGCGGCGGTTGCCTAGGCCTGCAGCTGTCTGTACACACAGAGCAGTTCTGTGTCTTTGAGCAGAGCCTCCCCTGCGGAGAATCCTCACATACCCTTGGATCGGAGGATCAAGCTGGATGTGAGGGGATGACAGGGTTTATAGACCCACGGGGAGCATTTACTATATGCACCTGATTCAGGATGCCTTTCCAATGTGTTCAGTGCTCTAGAAGATAGGTCTCCCACTCTGGTGAGTCTCCAGGATACAGAGAAAGTCTCAGGATACAGAGAGGACACACACACCCTGCTCTCCAAAAGCTGATGGTCAATGGGGGAAACATAAAGGAAGATGTGGGAGATATGCCCAAAGGGAGATAAATATAGGATATGATGGGAACAGAGAAGGAGGACTCAGACCCATCTAGAATAGAATAGTCAAGTGTGGTGGCTCTGGAGCCAGACTACTGAGTTAGAATCCTGGTTCTAGTATTTTCCAGCTGTGAGAGCTTGTGCAAGGAAGAGTAATAATAATAGGGCATGTCCAACAGGTTATCACATAAAGTTCTAGAACAGTGCCTGGCACATGGTAAGTGCCCAATATAGGTAAACTACTACTGTAGGTTAGAATGTAAGATCTATGAGGAGAGAGGCTTTGTTTTATTCATTACTATATCTCTAGTGTCTAACACATAACAGATGCTCAATACATTTTTTTCAATCAATAAATATTTGTTAAGGGGTGCCGGTTAAGTGTCTAACCCTTGATTTCGGCTCAGGTCATAATCTCATGGGATCTCAGGGATTGAGCCCTGAATCAGGCTCAGTGTTGTTAGTGCAGGGCCTGCTTGAAATTCTCTCTCTCTCTCTCTCTCTCCTCTCCCCCACCCCACCCTCGTGCTATCTGTCTCAAAACGAATAAATCAACTTAAAAAAATAAAAATAAGGAAATGTTTGTTAAATGTTTAATATTGGCTTTTCCTTCTTTCCTATTTCCCATCTGAGACCAGCATTCCTACCCTAAAAAATCTTAAAACAAATAGGCGACAACAGCGACAAATATCTTGCCAAACTTAAAAAAATCTGTTTTACTTCAGTAATGCTAGGCTGGATTACAAAATCTTCCCCAGTCCTGTCGATGTTTGGGCAAAGCAGGAAAAAGCCAGCAGCAGCAGCAGACAGAAAGGCTAGACGACTGTAGGGTCAGGAACACGGGGAATTTCTTTTTCATTTTTATTAAGAGTCTGATTTCCTGGAATCCTGATTTTTTTCTTCTTCTAGCACCAGGCTAATTTCCTTTATCCTTGAACCTACGAGCTTGTGTTAATGGGAATAGCAGGTTTGTACTTAGAAGGGAGATAATATCCATAGACTAAAAATATTGTGTCATGTGGCCATTTGCCAGCAACTCAGCAAAGCTTTCTGTAAAACCTGGCATTCTCTCCCCTTTTTAAAGGCTTGTTTAATCAAAGCTGCTCCCTTGATATTCATTCTTGGAAAACAGAAATTAAATAGAATGAGGACCGGCTGCACCCCCTCTCTGCTCCACTACTGGCTAAGAAAAGTCCTGAGTAATCAGATCAATTCGGTTAACCAATGCTTGTCAGACAAGCGCTTCGGTGTCCCTGCTGGGAATATTCCTTTACCACCACCCCAGGCTTCTCTACTTGCAGCCCTGCTGACAGCTACCGTTGCTCAGGGACACAAAGTCTTCAGTGTGGAAGGCAGCGGAGCCCGAGCTTCCTGCCCCATTCCGCCCTTATTGTGCCACTGGTGTCGGTAGAAAGGAGGACGGGAGGAAGCTGGCCCAGTTTCCTGAAATGTCAGGCTCCCTGGGGAGAGCATGTCACCTCCGCCCGCCCCGGGCTCCCTTACTGCAGCTGGAGCCACAGGCAAATCGGGAGCCAACCTGTACCGGTTTGTGACCATCATTGCTTTTCAGGACTGCCATGGGATCAAATGGGGAGATTTCAGCCTCCAGTCTCCCAAGAACAGAGCAGTCAACTTCCAGGGACCAAGTTTCCAGAGGGAAGGAAGCACCCCTATCCCTCCCAAGTCCAGGAATGCAGGTAGCTCAGCAAGCCACATGCCCCCAGATCCCCCTGGGGAACCATGGCCAGCAGCACCTTCTTCCAACTGGGCTGTGGCAAGTTATAAATATGACATCACACACCTGTTGTATTTTTCAGTGTAAGCTGAATATTGCATAAAAGCATTGATCCCTCTTCCACCCCTATCCAAGCTCAAAGGTGGGAAGTGGGGGGCAGGAGTGGGAGGGAAGGGTACCTAGGAGGGAAAAAAAACACCATAAAAATCCTACTGGAAGCCTTTTATGTGGTTTGGCTTGTGCGGTATTGTTAGGAGGCTGAGCTAAGTGGGTTATGGGCAAATATTTGAACCTTCTTAAGAAGACCCACATTTACAAATTCAAAATGCTATAGACATGTAATCCTTTACTGATAAAGCTGCCGAGGATTCTATCCTCTCAGGTTCTGTCATTCTTTTTCCATAATCGGCCTGGGTCCTAGTCTGATTCAGGCTTCGCTGATCTTAAGGACAACAGTCCCCGTCTATTCAAGGAAGCATCTCTTTCAACATATGAACAGTCATCAGTGGTGATGTATTTGGAATGGGAATTATCCAATACCACTGCTTTTTTCCCTTTCTTGAGCATTTTAATGAGAACCTGGGGTAGAACTCATTTTGCAAAGACTTCTGGTGGTGACTCCTGAGTTAGTAGGCAGATGCCAAGGGGGGCACTGAGCAAGTAGTGTGTATCTATCTGTGTGTGTGTGTATGTGTGTGTGTGCATGTGCCTGCGCATGCACAGTGGGAGTGGAAACATGTGGGAAGCAGGAAGGGCAATGTCACTAGGGACATCGAGGGACAGGACACCAAGGGCAGAATTTGCCAGAACAATGGGCAGGAGCTAGGCTCAGTTCTCACCGGAGCTACGGAGCCCAAGCAAAGCTCTCAGCTGGTCCAGAAACAAGGGGCTGCTCGAAGCACCTGAACCATCCCAGCCAGCCAGCACCGGCATCAAAGACCACTTTATTCCCAGGAAGATGGAAAGACACAGCTCGCTGCCCCTCCTCAGAGCCATGTGCAAGATGGAGGCGGGGAGAGAATTACTTCCCCTGTTGCCCTCCTGGTAGCCCCACCAGTAGCAAGGTTATTGCTCTTTTAATTTAATCCTTTGTCTGACCCGGTGAAGACAAAGCACATTTCACTTTATGCAAAAGTCCTTCCCTAATGGAAAGGCCAAGAGAAAGCTCCTTAATGGAGGAATTGCCGCACTAGATCACTTTGCCTCCAGCTGCGAAACTGATTAACGTCCTCGGAGTCTCCAAGGAGGCTTTGCTGCAGTCACGGTGGCCATTTCCGAGCAGAGGGGGAGGTGGAGTGTGGGAGTTGGGTGAGAGGGGGCTGGATCTCATTGAACCTCCTTCAAGAAGTAGAGAAAGGACTGGGGGCGGGGGCCCAGAGAAGAAATGCCAGGAAATGGAGTTATTTACATACAGACCACTCTGAGCCCTGTATTAATGCATGCCTCTGAGCGGGCTTCACCTGTATACCATCAGGACACAGATAGTGCTCGAGGAGGGGGAGCTGGTGCAGAGGAGGGGGAGCTGAAGCTGGATCCAAGCCTGCGCCATACAACACAAGCCACCAGCCACTGGCACCTGTGACTATCAAGCATTTGCAATGTGGCTGGTCTGAAAGGAGGTGAGTTGTAAGTACAAAGGACACGATGAGTTCAGAGACCCACTATAAGAAAAGGATGTAAAACATCTCATAAACCATTTTTATGTTGATTACGTGTTAGAAAGGATAGTCATTGAGATAGGAGTATTTAAAATGTAAAATATCTATTAAAATTAATCTCACCTATTTTGTTTTACCTTTTCAATGTGGCTACTAGGACATTTAAAATGACGCACACCTCAGTCATTTCTGGCCGCATGCTAACTGTGTTGGGCAGTGCTGGCCCAAACAACGTACAAGGACATGCTATTAAAATTTCCTCAGAAAGGCGGGAGCAAATGCCAGCTGTCTCTGCATTACCTGCATTTTTACGTTGTCTGTGATACACTTTCAGTTTATTAAGCTGCATAGGAGTTGCAGGATTTGTCGTTTTAAGGGAGTTGGGATTGCTGGAGGTGTCCTAGAACTAACTTTTAATCTGTTCTCCCTCCTCAATGGCTTCTACCAGCAAGGCAACTCCTGGGAACCCACCAGGTAAGATGATAGGCACAAACCAAGCTGAGGTGGCTTCAGGCACCTGCTTTGGTGTTTCGTTTTCGTTTTCATTTTGTTTTGTTTCTTGTGGGGAGTCGTGTACTTTAGTCATCACTCAGGCAATCTGCAAAGGCCCCCTTCTCCCTGCACCGTCACCATTGAGAAGTCTGACCTCTTTTTACCTTTTTATCACATTATAGGCCACAGTCACCAAACAGAAAATACCACATCATGTACTGAAGGGAGTGGAGGTCACATAATTCTCTTGCGGATCACATCTTCTCCAGATAGAAGGTTTGCTGCGGTGAGCGGCCAGCTTTGGGGGAGAGGTGGTGGGGGGTTCTCAGCCTTCCCCTTTTAGACTCTTCCCTCAGAAGTGTCCTTCCAGCCAGTACCACAGCAGTCTGCATGTGACAGGCACTTCTTCAAGGTGCTCAGTTCAGTGACTAGCCATCAGGTACTTTGAAATATCAACCCCTAGTTCCTTCAGACTTTGCAGTATCGGCCTGGCGCCCCTAGCAACAGGATCTCCTCTGATTATAGTTCATGATACCATTTCTTTCTTTTTAGTTTATTTCTTTTGGGAGAGAGAGGGCGCAAGTGGGTGTGGGGGGTGGGCAGAGGATCCCAAGCAGGTGTCATTGAGTGTGGGGTTGCATCCCAGGAACTGTGAGATCATGCCCTGAGCCCAAATCAAGGGTCAGATGCTTAACCGACTGAGCCACTCAGGTGCCCACATGATACCATTTCTCAAAACACATTCTTCCAGAGACCTGTGTGTTAAAGGATGGATCCCCAAACACACAAGACTCCTGGACAGCAAGGTTGTAATTGGCACCCTCCCCATCTTTATAGGTGCCGGCCTTATTCGCTGCGTGGTTCTCCCCATGAACACAAGACAGTCTAGTACTCAGTGTGGTAGTTGACACTCCAGCCGGCCACGGAAATGACACGGTTTACATAGGCCTTGTCAGGGTACTCGGCATAGATGGCCCCTGGGTAGTTAGCCGTCTTCTCTGTCGCCCTTATACCGCAGCCGATGGGCCTTTGGTGTAGATTTCTGCCATCATCTTCTCCCTTCTGGAAACAGAGCCAAAGGCGCAGGCCCCCTCCCCCGCCGGGCGCGTGTAGTTCTGGAGGGCTTAGCTCTCTTTGAGTTGAGTGCAGGTTCCACATTGGGTAAACTCCCGATCATTGTCATACTCCCAGTCCTTGGCCTGGTAGCTACTGCAGGTCCGGTCGGGGATGCTGTGCTGGTGGCTGTACGCCCACACCCGCAGGTCGTTGCTTTCTGCGCAGGAGCCCGCGCTGAGAGGGTGTGAGCCAGGCTACAGCGCCCGCATGGTGGGGGCCACGCCCCCTTCCTCTTGCTCTGGATCCCGTCTGCCACCCTGGCTATGGTGCTGCCTTGCGCCCAGCAGGAGCCGCAGTACCTCGGACGGTCCGGCTCCCGGGGACGCTGGCGTAGTCGACCCCATCCACGTTGCTCCAGTCCCAGCTCTTGGGCAGATGCGATGGGGACAGGTGCTCATGAGGTCGAGGCTTTGTCCTACGCCCCTGCTTGGACAACTTGTCCCCCTAAGGGGGTCGGTGGGAGCTCCTCAGTTGGCTGAAGTAGGGCCAGGCCAACGTGTCCCCAACGCAGGGGCCTGAATGCCTTCTGAGAAGCCCTCTCAACATCTCTGACCAGAAGACTTTCCCCCCGGGTATTTGGCAAAGATGCAGATTCCCAGGCCTGTCCCAGACCCACGGGATCGGAAACTCAGAGATACTCGGGAATTTGGGGAAACCATGCCCATGGTTCTCAGCCCTAGCTGTGCAACAGATTCACGTGGGGGCTTGCAAAGCCTGATGCCTGGGTCACACCCCAAGAAGTCATATCAGACTCTCAGAGGGGTGGGACCCAGACATCTGTCTGTTGTTTTTTAATTTTTATTTATTTTTTTAATGTTTATTTATTTTTGAGAGACAGAGTGTGAATAGAGGAGGGGCAGAGAAAGAGGGAGACACAGAATCTGAAGCAGGCTCCAGGCTCTGAGTTGTCAGCACAGAGCCCGATGCTGGGCTCGAACTCACAAACCATGAGATCATGAGCTGAGCTGAAGTCAGCCACTTAACTGACTGAACCACCTGGGCACCCCTGTCTGTTGTTTTTAAAAGTTCCTCTGCTAGTTTCAATTTACAGCCAAAGTTAAGAGGCACAGGTTCGGTCAATAGTAAATTAACCCATCTCCTTTCTCCTTATATGGAGCAAAATATGTCATTTAATACCTCCGGAGCACCCAGAATAAAATGTCTAAGTACAAGGGACGTGCTATGTCACTTCCTGAACTGCTATTCCTTTCCAGTCTAGAAGGGTTCTTTCTAGATCATGCTCACTGCTCCTGTAGGCAGGAATGTTCTGTGCAGCTGCTAGTTCTAGTGCAGGTGTTAGATACTTCATCTGCAATTGAAGAGCCCCCTCCCCAAATAACTCCTAGCTCGCTGCAGAAGCAGCAGGTGCAACTATTTCCAAACTCCAGGCAAGCCCAACCCTGTGGTTGAGCTCAGACATCTTTGGATGACACTACATTTTCTTTTAAGGGAGAGACGCTTGCTGCATTTGTTCGTCACCTGGGCTGCTTCCCTTCCTCTGAAAGCATAACAACCTGATCTAGAAGGTGGTTTTATTTTACTTTTTCATGTTTATTTATTTATTTTGAGAGAGAGAGACAAAAAGAGCACAAGTTGGGGGAGGGGCAGAGAGAAGGAGACACAGAATCCCAAGAAGGCTCCAGGCTCTGAGCTGTCAGCAAAGAGCCCAACATGGGGCTCAAACCCATGAACTGTGAGATCATGGCCTGAAACCAGATCGGCCACCTAAACCAACTGAGCCACTCAGGCGCCCCTAGGAGGTATCTTTAAAGGGACCACTATGGCCTTATTTGCTCTGTATAATTTGGAAAGATATATTAAAGATGGAGATTTAAAACTAAACCTTTTTCATGACAGTTGGGAGATTCCTTCCACTTTGCCCCCACTGCATTTTGTATGAAATTTATAGCAATTACCTTATTGAGTTATAATAATCTGGTGTATGCACGAATGTCTCCCATCCACACTGTAGACACAGTTCTGGCCAGTGAGAAGTAAACAGAAGTCCTCCAGTTAGGGCCCCCAGAAGGGTCTTTGTTTTCCTACCACAAAAGGTACAGACTGGGCTGGCCTGCTGCCTTCACCTTGTTCCCCTTCCTGCTTTTTTTTTTTTTCTTTTTGTTCTTCTTCCTGCTTGGAACTTAAAGGTAAAGCCTGGAGGTCCAGCAGCCATGTTGTAATCATGAGGCAAAACAGAAAGAGGACAAAACCAACATATTGTGGGTGGAAGAACAGAAAGATAGAAAGAGCCCAGGTTTTTGAAGGCAACAGATGAGCCAACCCTGGATGGATTCCTGCCTCTGGGAGGAAAAACAAAATCCCACATCTACCACTGTAATTAAGTTTTCTGTTGTTTTCAGACCAACACATTTATAATTTACATAACAAGTATGTTAATCCTGAGTATGCATTTAAAGCACCTAGTATTGCTCTCAGCACATAGTAGGGACCCATTGTTTGCATATTCCACTTATTCATGCAAATAGAATCTCAAATAACTTATTTTTTTGAACAGAAGGGTCATCTTCTGATAATAACAGTCTATTCCATAACTTAAGATGTGCTCACTAATCTTAAAACAGCTTTGTTTCAGACCCTGCCGATTGGTATTGGTACCTGAGGTTATCCCCAAGGCTCACTTCCTTGCGTTAGAAAAAGTAGCCCGGTTGAGGCTGCAAATCACACAGCCAACAGCCCAAACAGCCTCCCGGTGTTACCAGTTCCCCAAGTGTCATATTTCAACTCCTTGCTTCTCTGTAAGGTGGGATTTGCCAGAGGGAAGCCTGCTCCAAGGCTAGTTGGCTGGCTGGCGTGAGCCAAAGCTCTCCAACCTGGGCTGCCCCGCTGCGGGGTGCACAGGCCACTCCAGGGGACAGAACTGGGAGCCACAGCGTTCCTGCCCTGGGACAAGCTGAGAGGCTCCTTCGCCCGAAGGTTAGTGTTTACGAGAGCTAAATGGCAGCTGCAATAAAGGAGTGGATTTAAAAGGGAGAGAAGAGAGTCTCAGACTGAACCATGAGGTGTAAGGACACAAGTCTAAACGTCTAAACCAAACTGACTCCAGGACAGGCTTTAAGTTTCCCCTCTAAACTAGAAGGCCTAAGTTTCAGCTTTCCTGAAACTATCAGGCAGTTACACGTTGCCCAAGGCAGGAGAAACCACCCTTGCAACACCCAATCAGGAAAGGCCAGCGACCACCCTCCACATTACTAAGGGAGAGGCCTGGAGATAGAAACTATAGATAGGACACTGTTACCTAAGGTTAGAGTTAACCCGTTAGTCGCCGAACAAGACCCTAGGCTCGCTCTGTGACTGGTTGAATTTAAACGTACTCTAAATGTTGTAATTGGATCCCGCCAAAAGTAACGAATACTCTAGACAACGTGTATGGTCAAACCTGCTGTCAATGATGTTGTATAATTATGATTGGATCACTGTTCCCATGACACAACTTCTGTAACTCCCCCGTCACAAACCCCATAAAAACCCTACTCTGCCCTTGTTCGGGGCTCTCAGCACGGATGCACTGTGTTGGTGAGGTCTGGGAGCCCGAGCCCGTAATAAAGCCCTTTGCCTTTGCATGCGTGACTTGGTCTCCCCGGTGGTCTCTGGTCGTTGAGGATACTGCAATCTGGGTATAACAGAGGGAAGGCTCCAGGACCTAGACTCTGGTTTTTCTCTGTGGAATTCCCCCTTTT